ATTACACATAATCTTTTAGGCATGGTTTTACTTTTAAACCATTTCTTTAATTTGCATTTAGAGTTGATAAACTTATTATATTAGTTTCAGTTGAATACCCCAGGGATTAGGCATTACATAATTTACTAAATAATTATTCTGATAAATTTTGTACCAATCTGATACATAGTTATTAGAATATTATTGACTATTAGAGGTCCGGTGGACAAAATTCATGCATGGGGGTGTGTATCCCTCAGCTCAGCCTGCACCCTCTCCAATCTGGGACTGCTGGCTCCCAGCTGCTCGCCTGCCTGCCTTGCTGATTGCCCCTAACCGCTTCTGCCTGCCAACCTGATCACCTCCTAATCACTCCTCTGCAGGCCTGGGTCCCCCCCCAACTGCCCTTCCCTACAGGTCCAGTCACCCCCAACTTCCCTCCCCTGCTGGCCTGGTCACCCCAACTGGCCTCCCCTGCAGGCTTGATTGCTCCCAACTGCCTTCTCTCTCTCTCTCTCTCTCTCTCTCTCTCTCTCTCTCTCTCTCTCTCTCTCTCTTTTTTTTTAAATATTTTATTGATTTTGTACAGAGAGGAAGGGAGAGAGATAGTTAGAAACATCGATGAGAGAGAGTCATTGATCAGCTGCCTCTTGCACACCTCCCACTGGGGATGTGCCCGCAACCAAGGTACATGCCCTTGTCCGGAATCGAACCTGGGACCCTTCAGTCTCCAAGCCGATGCTCTATCCATTGAGCCAAACCGATTTCGGCCCAACTGCCTTCTCTTGCAGGCCTGGTCCCTCCCAAATGACCTCTCCTGCTGGCCATCTTGTGGTGGCCATCTTGTGTCCACATGGGGCAGCCATCTTGTGTGTTGGAGTGACAGTCAATTTGCATATTACTCTTATTTATTAGATAGTATAGAGGCCTCGCACATGGGTGGGGGCCAGGTGGTTTTCCCTGAAAGGTGTCCCAGATCAGGGTGGGGATTCCCTTGGGGCATGGGTAGCGTGGACGAGGGGCCTGTGGTGGTTTGCAGGCCGGCTATGCCCCCCGGCGACCCAAGTGGAGGCCCTGGTATATGGGATTTGTTTATCTTCTATAATGGAAACTTTATAGCCTTGAGTGGAGGCCTGGGTTGGCCAGGGTGTGCGGAAAGCTTGGGTTCCTCCATCACTGGGGGAACCCAAGCCTCCTGCTTGCTTTGTGGCCATAGCAAGCTTGGTTGGATTAATTTGCATACTTGCTCCTGTTTGGCTGGTGGGTGTAGCAGAGTGGTTAATTTGCATATTAACTCTTTTATTAGATAGTATAGGATATTCCCTATGTTGTACTTTACATCCCTGTGACTATTTTTTACTACCAATTTGTTGTTGTATTTTTCAATGTCTCTGAATCTAATTTGTTCATTAGTTTATTTTGTTAGCTACCAATTTGTACTTCTTAATCCCTTCACCTTTTCCAACCACCAAAAACCCCCTCCCATATGGCAACTGTCAAAAATGTTCTCTTGTTATCTCTGTTTCTGTTTGTTCCTTTATTTATTTTTTCAGATTTAATTGTTGATAGATAGGTACTTACTGCCATTTTATCGTTCATATTTTTAATCTTTTTTTCCTCTTCTTAAAGAAGACCTTTTAACATTTTTTTATTTTTCAAAGCTGGTAAATACGTATTTTTGGAAACATTAATAGCTTCGTGTGGTACAATAGTGGCAGCAGCGGTTAGGCACAGACCTTCCATTTGGTAGCCTTTTTAAACAATGTCATTTTCTAACCATGTACATATTCTATTTTGTTAAAATCACAGTGGAAGGTTTTTATAAACAATTTCAGTTCTTAAAAATGACACTTGTTTATAAATTCCGTAACTCTTACCCAGAGTAGGTTGCAACATGAACAAGCAAATCAGACATTAACAGGTAGAGGATCATGTGACTACTATACAGAAATGCCACACATTTAGGCATTTTATAAAAGAAAACATATTTACAAATGAAATGAGTTTATGCCATACTCTGCAAAGGACTTGGCTGATTTCCAATTTACACCTTTTAAAATTATCACATTTAAAAGAACACAGGAAACTCATCACCAGCATACTGTTTCCTAAATAAGGACACAGAACCGGATCCCTGAACTCCACAGACTACCTAACAACTGAGTTAGATGAATTAATTTCTCTTTAATTCCAAGAAATTCAAAGGAAATACTTAAGATCTCCAAGTTATATTATTTTCTGTTATCTGCATTTTTTGAAGATGTTAGATTTACACATCCTGGCATCCTGATTAGGTATTTAAATACCAGAGTTCCATGCAGTGCTCCCATGGCAAGTTTTAATTTCACAATAATGAAAATGATGTTTTTTGTAGTATGAAGAGCCTGATTCAATTAAATCAAGTCTTAATGTTTGTCTGACTAGAACCTAGTATCCTTTCAATTAACAGAAAATAAAAAGCATGGACACTGTAGGACACGACATCATAGCAGTTGTATTGAAAGGGTGGTGACATAGCAGTAGAGACTCCCCCAAATTTGTTTGTTTATTTTAATTAAAAAAATTATTTTTAACAGAAAGAGGAAGGGAGAGGAGGAAAAGAGAGAAAGAGAAACATGAGGGATGAGAATCATCGATTCTTTGTATGCACCCCTCATCCCCCATTGGGGATTGAGCCTGCAACCTGGGCATGGGCCCTTAGCGGAATCAAACTGACATTCATGGTTCAGTGCTCAACTACTGAGCCACACTGGCCAGGCAAGAATCCCCCAAATTTAAATAGGAAAAAGCAACCGTCAGGTTTTCATCTAGTGATTTTAGCCAAAACTGGTTTGGCTCAGTGGGTAGAGCGTTGGCCTGTGGACTGAAGGGTCCTGGGTTCGATTCTGGTCAAGGGCATGTACCTTGGTTGTGGGAACATCCCCACTGAGGGTATGCAGGAGGCAACTGATTAATGATTCTCATCGATGTTTCTAACTCTCACGCCCTGTGAAAAGTCAACAAAATATATATATATATATATATATATATATATATATATATATATATATATATATAAAAAGTGATTTTATAGTAAATCTGAATTTGGCAGTGTCCAATGTTAATACAAAACCTGTCTTCCTACTTGAAGCCTTTCAACAGTAATTCTTACTCTGATCATAGACTGGCCATGTGGCAAGTCCTCTCTAGAGGAAACTAGAATTCTGCCCAGTGTGTGGTTTCCCACGCCCACCCCACCCCACCCTACCCCACCAGCCCTGACTGAGCTCTGTCCTATGAGTTCCAGGCAGAGGTCACAGCTGCCCTGTTTCAGGTCTCTTGTTTATTTCCAGCTCCAGTGCCTTTGAAAACTGAGATTTTGGGTCTCCCTTCTCCTCCTTTACCCTTTTCTTGCTTAGTTTTTCTTCTGTGCCTCTTCCTCCTTTGCTGATGACACCTATTCCTTCAGAGTGACATCAGCATACCAAAAAGTCCTTGTAGCTCCCATCACACAGCAAATGGCAGGGTCTGATCCATGATGAATGTCTGGATGTCATAGTTGGCTGGCATTAGAAAGGCTGCCTTACCAAAGGCTGGTGATTTTCCTCCTCTTGTTCTCCCTGGGGCTTCCTGATTCGGGTGGCAAACATGAGAAACTTCCCTTTCTTCATCATTTTAAATATGGTCTTGGGGGCTTGCCTGGGATATCTTGTATGGAAAAGCCACTGGAAACAGCCTTGATGGGCTTGAAAATTGAGTTCTATTTGGAATATTAGTCACCAGTGCAGGGCAAACAGTGTGAGTCAGGTTGATGGAGTCTCTGATAAGATGCTTGCCTGATAGCTCTTTGGGAGATGGGGGGAGAAAGAGTCCTCATCAAAAGAACAGTGGCCTTGCCAGAACTTCTTTCTCGGAGAAAGCTGGCACCCTACCACCATCACTACCACCACCACCACCACCACCACCACCACCTCAGCTCTTGCCCTGATGCAAGAAAATTCAGTTCCTCCTCATATGTCTCTGGTGTCTTTCAAGTTGTTGCCCCAGCAATGGAGCTCAGAAGGGAGGGAGTCAGAGTAAGTCTGTGCAGACCCTTTAAGAGGAATTGCCTGGGACTCATTGCACCCTCAGCCTCCCTCATTCTAAATTCCTCTGTTTTTTATAGCCGTTCTCTTTCTGGCACTGGAATCCTGGTCTGGGGGGCCTGATGTAGGGATTTCTGCAGCTGAGATATACCTCATAATTTTTATCTAGCCCATTTCATGTCTCCATCCCTTCTGTCAGTCTCCTTGGGGCTGCTGCTTTAATTCCCTAGTTGTAGGACTCCAGTCAGCCAGAGTTCAGGAGGTTCTGACTGATGGTTATAGTTTGTAATTTTGATGTGGTTGTGGGAGGAGGCAAGTACTGCGCTTACCTACGCTGCCATCAAAGGGAAGACTCTAGGCATGGTTAAAAACTTGGTTTTTGAAACCCCTTATTAAAACAAATATTACATGAGCCGAAACCGGTTTGGCTCAATGGATAGAGCGTTGGCTTGGGGACTGGAAGGTCCCAGGTTCGATTGCGGTCGAGGACATGTACCTTGGTTGCGGGCATATCTCCAGTAGGGGGTGTCCAAGAGGCAGCTGATCGATGACTCTCTCATTGATGATTCTAACTCTCTATCTCTCTCCCTTCCTCTCTGTACAAAATCAATAAAATATATTAAAAAAATAATAAATCAAATATTACTTGAGTAATATAAGGACTGAGTTAATATTCTGATTCAGCTTTTTAATGGTTTCTTTAACTAAAATGACTTAGTTACTCTAGCTTTCTTTCTTTCACTGTTACTTTGTGATGTTAATCTTATGTTTGCACTTAATAAAAGTCATCCTTGAGGTTAGTTATTAGGGGTGGTGAGATACTGTAAACTTTGGGAAATGAGTTATGAAAAATTGGAGTTAGCAAAATTCAGTGAAGAATTATTTGTAAATCTTTAAAAATTTGAAAATATTAATGTTTTTCTAAACTTGAATTTTTTCTTTCTTTTGTATTTTAAGCGATTAAGAAGATTGTCTACCAAATACAGAACAGAAAAGATTTATCCCACAGCCACTGGAGAAAAAGAAGAAAATGTTAAAAAGAACAGATATAAGGACATACTGCCTTGTAAGTTTAAAATGTCTTTCATAGAAATAGAAATGCTAATTAGCAATTTGTAGCCTACACTATCTTTAGTTTTTCTAATGAGTTTAAGTATTAATGAGGAAGTAACTAATCTTTCAAGGTTCACTACAAGATAACAATTTGATCTAATACTTCTTGTTTTTCCTTCTGAGTAGTTTTTGTTGTTATTGTTTAATTTTCTAAAGCATTACAATTACTCTGGTACTAATTTTATTTTTATTTTTTATATGTTTTCATTCATTTTAGATAGAGAAAGAGAGAGGGAAAGGGATAGGAACATGGATGTAAGAGAGAAATATCAATTAGCTGTCTCCTGGACACCTACCAGGGATCAAGCCCACAGCCCGGGCATGTGCCCTGACCAGAAATTGAACCAGCGACCTCCCTCTGGGCCTGGGATAGTCAACCACCTGAGACACACCAGCCAGGGCTTAATTTTCTTTTAAATACTGAAAATCCAAGTAAGAATATCTTTTTGTGGATTCCCTATTCAAAGTTGTTTCATTAAAATAAAATAATATAGGCCCAGGCCGAGTAGCTCTGTTGGTTAGAGCATGTTCCTGATGATACACCAAGGTTGCAGGTTTGATCTCCTCCAGTCAGGGCACATATAAGAAGCAACTGATGAATGCATAAATAAGTAGAACAACATATTGATGTCTCTCTAAGTCAATAAACTAAAAAGTAAAATAATATAGACAGATACCTTAATAAAACTGTTAATTGTCATCTGAGGATATTTTTTCTGTTGATTTCCAGAGAGAATAGAAGGGGGGTAGGGAGGTAGGGAGAGGGAGTGAGAAAGAGAGAAATATTGATGTGAGAGAAACACATTGATTGGTTGCCTCCCACATATGCCCATTGATGTTGCATTTTCACATTGATGTGTCTTTCCCTCCCTCCCTCTCCCTCTCCCTCTCCCTCTCCCTCTCCCTCTCCCTCTCCCTCTCCCTCTCCCTCTCCCTCTCCCTCTCCCTCTCCCTCTCCCTCTCCCTCTCCCTCTCCCTCTCCCTCTCCCTCTCCCTCTCCCTCTCCCTCTCCCTCTCCCTCTCCCTCTCCCTCTCCCTCTCCCTCTCCCTCTTCCTCCCTTCCTCCCTCCCTCTTTCTCTCTCTCTCTCTTCCCCCCTCTCTCCCCCTTTCCCCCCTCCACTTTCTCTCTCCTTTCCTTCTTCCTCTCCCTCTCTCCAAAAGTCAAACTGTTCTTTAAAAAATAAGAAAAGAACATTTGTTGATTAAACTTTGTTTCGAATACTAACAACTATAGGCCTACTTTTACCTCCACTCTATATTGATAGCATTATATTCTAGTAATAATAATGTAATTATATTCTTAAGCTAGATGCCCCTTGCAGGAAGATTTCTGCTGTGGTCTCCGCTGCCACCTGCTTTCCTCCCTTCTCCACAGCCCCTCCAGCTTCTCTCCCTTCTCCGCCTGCCTGCTTCCCTGCCTTCTCAGTCGCCCCGCTTGCTTGCTTCTCCGCAGCTTCGCTTCCTTCTGCAGCGCTTGGCTTCTTTCTACACTGTCTTCAGTCTTGGTTCTGGCCTGGATATGCAAATTAACTGCCATCTTCGTAGGGTTAATTTGTATGTTTGCCCTGATTGGCTAGTGGGTATGGCTTGTGGGTGTAGCAGAGGTGCAGTCAATTTGCATGTTTCTCTTTTATTGGAGAGGATAGCAAAGTAACCACTCATTAAGCTTTTGGAAAATACACTCTACTTTCCAATTCACCTCAGAATAGTGGATGGTATGGGTTTCTTCTGGATAGTGTTAAGCAAGATAATTCTTTTTTTTTTTTTTTTTTTTTTAATATTTTTATTGATTTCAGCGAGGAAGGGAGAAGGTGAGAGAGAGAGAGAGAAATGTCAACAATGAGAGAGAATCATTGATCGGCTGCCTCCTGCACGCCCCTTACTAGAGATCGAGTTGGCAACCTGCCGTGTGCCCTTGACCAGAATCAAACCTGTGACCCATCAGTCTGCGGGCCAATGCTCCAACCACTGAGCTAAACAGGCCAGGGCGCAAGATAATCTTAAAATACTCCTACTGTGCTCTGGAATTAATTTCATACTCTTAAAAAGATAGTTCCTCCACCTTTTTCTATAATTGGGAAAATGAATCTTAAAACAGCTTCAAGGTTTCTGTTTTTATATGTTATGTTTCATTCATTGGTTTTACAAAATATTTTGATCCTATACTGTGTTCTGGAGATACTGTAGAAAGCCAAGTGGCAAAACCTCTTGCCCTTATGAAATTTTATATTCTAGTCATAATGTCAGATAATGAATACAAGTAGTATAGGTTTTCTGTCAAATGGTGACTAGTGCTGTGTTGAATGAGGAGCATGGAGAAAGCTGAGAGCAATTTTAGAGAGAGAAGAGGGGTCAGTGGGGTGTTGTTAAATTGGTCCTTTGAAAAATGAAAGCCCTAATTTTTTATTTTTTTGCCATTTCTGTAGTGAATGGATTATTTGCCATAATCACCACAACAAAACTATAAAGTAGAAAACTGTAATATGCCACTTTGCACATGAGAAACTGAGACAGGGAGATTAAATAGCTTGTCACACAGCTAATAGAGTGAATGAGAATTTAAGGCCAGGCAGTTTATATTCAGAACATTGGTGCTCAACTAGGATGATCTTGCCTCTGGAGTGACATTTAGCAATGTCAGAGACATTTTGGTTGTGAAAACTGGTTGTGCAGTAGGCAGGAAGCTACTGGCATCTAGTGGGTGTAGGAAGTCTACAATACAGAGGCCAAAGCCTCCCCACAATAAAGAATTATCCAAGGCCAAAATGCCCATACTGCTGAGGTTGATAATCCTTGCCCTAGAACCTGAGCTGGGTGCTATAGTTAGAGTGGCAGTGTATTTTCCTTTAAGTCATAATAAGGTTTGATAAGTCAGTTTCCAATAAGTTTGTAGTTGCTTTCATTTAGAAAATTATATTAAAAGTAATTGTACTTAAAGATATATATTTATTTACTGTTAAAAAAATAACGTTAAGTTGTCAATTTCTTTTGCATGTTTAGCATGGCCAGTGCTTGCCGACACAGTATTTTTTAAAACAGCTTTATTGATAACATTACATGCCATAAAGTTTACCCATTGTAAGTGTACAATTCAGTGATTTTTACTAAATTTATCGAGTTGTGCAACCATCAAAACAATATAATTTTAGAACATTTTTATCACTCCAATAAGATCACATGCCAATTTGCAATCTTCAGCCATAGGCAACCACTGCTCTGCTTTTTGTCTCTATAGATTTTCCTTTTCTGGAAATTTCATATAAATGTAATTACACAATATGTAGTCTGTGCCTGGCTTTTTCACATAGCATGTTTTTTGATTCATCTGTGTTGTAACATACATCAGCAGTTCATTTCTTTTTATTCAATTAATATTCCATTTTTACCATATTTTGTTTAACCACTTACCAGTTGAAGGGCATTATGAACAATGCTGTTACAAACATTTCATACAAATTATCTTCTCTGCTGAAAAGTGTCTTGAAACCATTTGTACTTTTTTAAAATTTGATTTTTTATAGAGTTATAAAAATTCTTTAAAAAATATATATATTTTATTGATTTTTTTACAGAGAGGAGGAGAAAGGGATAGAGAGTCAGAAACATTGATGAGAGAGAAACATCAGTCAGCTGCCTCTTGCACACCCCCTATTGGGGATATGCCTGCAACCAAGGTACATGCCGTTGACCAGAATGAAACCTAGGACCTTTCAGTCCGCAGGCCAACGCTCTATCCACTGAGCCAAACCGGTTTTGGCAAGTTATAAAAATTCTTTACATATCTTAGTTACAAGTGGGTTTGTTTTTTTCAGATGTATGATTTGTAAAAATATTTTTTTCTAACATGGTATAAGGTTAGGGTCTAAAATAATTGTGCATGTGATATTGTTCTAGCACCCTGTGTTGAAAATACTGTTTTATCTCCATTGAATTGCCTTGGTAGCTTTGTTAGAAATCATTTGACCCATACATTTAATTCTATTCCATTAATCTATTTTTATTCTTTTTAAAAAAAATATATTTTATTGATTTTTAACAGAGAGAAAGAGAGAGAGCTAGAAACGTCGATGAGAGAGAAACATCGACCAGCTGCCCATGCCCTTGACCAGAATCGAACCTGGGACCTTTCAGTCCGCAGACTGACCCTCTACCACTGAGCCAAACCGGCTTCGGCTATTTTTATTTTTAAACCAGTATCACACTATCTTGATTACTATACAGTTGTATAATAAAATTTAAGCAATAAGTGTAATTCCTCCAACTCTGTTGTTATTTTTTAAAATTATTTTGTTTTTTTTGGGGGTCCTTTGCATCTTAATATAAATTTTAGGATCAGCTTGCCAATTTTTAAAAAAATATATTTTACTGAGTTTTACAGAGAGGAAGAGAGAGGGATAGAAAGCTAGAAACATCGATGAGAGAAAAACATCAATCAGCTGCCTCTGGCACACCCCCTACTGGGGATATGCCCGCAGCCAAGGTACCTGCCCTTGACCGGAATCGAACCTGGGTCCCTTCAGTCCCCAAGCCGACGCTCTATCCATGAGCCAAACCGGTCTTGGCCCAATACCAAAATTTAAAAATTTCTAGGTACTCTTTGTGTCAAGAATGACCTATGCTTTGTGTTTTAGAGGGCTAAAACTGAGCTGGCTAGCCTTTAGGAGTGATGGATCAGGGTGTTCAGCCTATCTAATGTTAATTATGGAGATCCTTTTATTTCTTAGATCTGGATTTAGTCTCTGGAGGTTTCTCTTTTCTTTGTAACAATCTTATCTACTTACTTTTTGTTGCCACAGGTTGTCCGTATTTGTTCAAAAAGAAAAAAAAAAGTTGCTGTTTTTAAGAGCTTTTTGGCTAGCCAACATAGATTTTTATCTATTTGGAGTTGAATTCTTAGGAGATTGTAGAGGCAGCCAGCAAAGCCATGGGAACAAATAATTATTTTCATTGCTTTGTTATTCTTTACATTCTACTACTCATTTTTATGCTTAATAAGAATACCAGTGAAGAATGTTAAAATATACATGATGGCCCTAGCCTGTTTGGCTCAGTGGATGGAGCATTGCTTGTGGACCGAAGGATCCCAGGTTTGATTCCGGTCAGGGGCACATGCCTGGGTTGCAGGCTTGGTCCAACATGCAGAAGTCATACAATCAATGATTCCCTCTCATCATTGATGTTTCTATTTCTTTCTTCCTCTCCCTTCCTCTCTGAAATAAATAATATATATACATATATATATATATATATATGTATATATATTGAATATACGTGATGATGTGTTATATAATAAGCAGCATAATATCCTATCCTAAACAATAAAACCCTAATATGCAAATCAACCAAATTGCAGAATAACTGGTCTCTAATGTCACACTGACCACCAGGTGGTAGATGCTTAATGCTGGAGCTGCCCCTGGTGCTTAGTGCACTCCTACAGTCTGGCAAACTCAGCTCCTGCCTCCACATCACTAAGGACCCCTCAGTGGACATCCTCTGAGGGGTCCCGGGACTGCGAGAGGGCACAGGCTGGTCTAAGGAATGCCCTCCAGTGCAAAAATGTGCACTGGGCCTCTAGTTAATTTATTAAAAGCCATTTTTGTGCCCCATCTTGAGTTACTAAATTCAACTTGTTTTTGTATGGGACTCGGAGATCTTGTGTTTTAACTTGCTTTCTCCAGCCCCCAGCTGTTGTCTGATTAGAGGTGGATGAAATAAGACTGGCAAAATGTTAATAGTTATTAAAGCTTGGTAATGGATATATGGGGATCCATTATATTATTATATTTTTGTATATGCATAAAATTTTCCATCAAGGAAATATTTTAAAATTCCCATCTTGCATATAGCAGCCCAGCAGCATCAATCTTGACTGTCATTTGGAATAATACACTGTTACTAATTGGACTCACAATCCCCAGAAACATTTACTGAGGATTCAAGTGGTCATTCAACTATTATACAAAGTTTTGCCTTTGAGATACTTTGAATAGAGGCTGAAAAAGTAATAGATATAGAACAACATGTGTAGTATCATTGTGTTTGTGTAGTTTTAAAACTATTTAGGTATTATGCATAAAAATTACTTTTGGAAGAAAAAAAAGAACCTTAATATAGTATCTTTGCTGGGAAAGAGAGAGCCCTGTAATTCAAGGACAGGGAAAGATTGCTTTTTATTTTATATCTTTCTTTAGTATTTAATTTTTTAAAATCATGTACTTTATTTTAGAAATAAATTGCACAATTTTATGAAATTTATATTTTTGGACTTTACTGTAAAGATTGTGTTTTTTTTTTAATTCCAAGTAGAGATTAACCTATATATTAAAAGCTTAATAGGCTAAGTGTCCAGTCAGCCATTCAACCAATCAAAGCATATATGCTAAGGCCGCTCAACTGCTTATATGCTAAGGCTGCTCAACTGCTTGCTATGATGTGCATTGACCACTAAGGGGCAGACCCTCTGACCAGTAGGTTAGCTTGCTGCTGGGGTCTGGCTGATTGGGACTGAGCAAGATGGGCTGGACACGTCCTGGAGCCCTCCCATGATCTCTTCTTGGCCCCGATCGTGCACCATTGGGGTCCCTTGGCCGGGCCTGCGCACTCTTGCAATCTGGAACCCCTCAGGGGATGTCGAAGAGCCGGTTTTGGCCCAATGGCAGAACAGCTAGTCGCTATGATGTGCATTGACGACCAAGGGACAGACACTCAACACAGGAGCTGCCCACTGGTGGTCAGTGTGCTCCCACAGGAGGAGCACTGCTCAGTCAGAAGCCTGTCTCATGGCTGGCGATTGCATCGGTGGTGGGACCCTCTCCTGCCTCCACAGCAGTCGGACATCCCCTGAGAGTTCCCAGACTGCGAGAGGGCATAGGTCAGGCTGAAGTGCACGAATTTCCTTCCTGAGTGCACGAATTTCGTGCACCAGGCCTCTAGTCTAATAATAACAACAGTATTGGCCAAATGCAATCAATTCATTCATCAATCACATTTACTAAATTTTTATACTTTTTGTGAAATATGAAAGCTTTTTTTTTTCTAATAAGAGTTTTTGCAAATGAGCTTGTGTATTGGTAATTAGTGTTTACCACATATATGCTTGTTAAAAGCTACAGATGTTTAAAACCCAGACTCTTGTCTAGTAAATATGGGATGATGCCCAGGAATTTGTATGTTAAAAGAGCTCCTGAGATTATACTGATTGCATCTTTAAAACAGAGCTTTACATCATCAGATTTTTGTTTTTAAAGAATATTTCTGGCCAGTGTGTCTAAGTGGTTATAGCATCAGCCCACACACCCAAGGATCTCAGGTTTGATTCCAGACTAGGTTGCAAGTTCCATGCCTAGTCCTCATTGGGGCACACATGGAGCTAACCAATGAATGTCTCTTTCTCACATTGATATTTTTCTCCTCCCTTTCTCCCCTACTCTTTCCCTCTCCCTCCCCTCCTCTCTCTCTAAATATCAATGGGAAAATATCCTTGAGTGAGGATTTTAAAAAAGAAAAAGACTTCCTGTCAATATGATGTTAGAAATTATTCTTTTGTACCCAGAGTCAATTTTAATTGTTTTTCAAAGTATAAATATTTTTACTTATTTATTTAATCTTACTTATGGTTCATGAGAAAGCACCTGTCTGCCAACAGAACATAATTTGTGAAATATTTTTTCTTGTAGTTGATCACAGCCGAGTTAAGTTGACTCTAAAGACTCCTTCTCAAGATTCAGACTATATCAATGCAAATTTTATTAAGGTATATATTAGCTTTAAATCTTACTCTGCCATATTTAATGTCTTCCTTCATACTAGTTTATTAAATTGTTTTTAAATTGTCTAAACATTATACTAGCGAAAGAAATAAAAATAAAATCACATCCCTGACACATTTTTATGTAGTTTGCTTTCTAGTGTCCTTTTTCATAAAGATAGAGTTTTGCCATAGTTTTCTTCTTTTTACCTTAAAGACTTACAAAACACTTTACCCATCACTAAATCATTTTCTCTGTTGTCCCTTTGAGTTTATATACAAAGATGTATATAATCATTCCCTATTGTTAAATCATATAGGTTGTTTCAGTTTTTCTTAATGGTAATATTGGAATGAATAGTATTATTCTTTTGAAAAATTTCCTAGGATAAATTGCCGGGGCTGAAATTACTGGGTAACACCGATTTAAAATTTTAGAATATAAACTTAAATTTAAAACTTTTGGCAGTTGACAAAATTTTAAGTGAGACCCAGAATGTAAGATTAAATATAGTCTTCATATAGTTAACCTTTGATAAAAGCAGTTAAGTTCATACAGTTCATAGACAAATTGAAACTGCTATTTTACTATTTTATTCCATAAGTTGCTCTGTTTTTGAATCTAATTATATGATAGCATAATTTTAGTTATTTTATATTGTGCTTATACAAGTTTTAATACAGTATTTTGTTGATGAAAAGTATAAGTAGTAAGAGTTACATGGTAAAATTAATATTATGTCAATATCAGAGGCCCAGTGCACAAAGATTCATGCAAGAATGGGCCTTCCTTCCCCTGGCTGCCGGCACCGCCTTTGCTCTGCCTGGAGCTGCCTTTCTGCCTTCCCATGCTGCCCAGAGGCCCAGCGTGTCTGGGGCGGTGCAGGATGCCTGCATCCCACCCCTGGCTGCTCGGTGCCTGTGTATGCAAATTAAACCGCCATCTTTGTTGGGTTAATTTGCATACTGATTTCTGGTGGGCATCTCGAAGGTACAGTCAATTTGCATCTTACTTTTATTAGTGTAGATTTAACAGTCAGGGTTCCAAATAAAAACCTATTTTTCCTAACAATTTTATTACAAAACCAAAACAACTAGGTTAAACAAAAAACTAATACAAAAGTGGTTAGCTGTTTCAGATATATTTTTTCATGTTTATATTATTTTATAAACATTTAATAAAAGTTAAACATTTAACATTTGTTAAAAGTTCTAGTTTTTAATTGCACTTTAATAACACTGAGTTGTTGTGTATGATTCCATTACATGCTAGTTTAGTATTTTAGTTTTATTGTCAGGTTCATTATTAGAAAGGCATGCAATAAACGTTCAAGTTGAATAAATAAAGGTAGCTATGGAAGAATCTAGCTAAGGAAGAATTGTTAGCTAGTTTTAGTTTTGTTTTTGGAATCAAAGGATGTTTTATGTTTCTGCTATAGTTAACTTTGTTGGCTTAAAATAGGGGCTTTTGTTTTTAATTCCTAGCTAAATAATAATTTTTAAGATAGCATAAGGCAGTTTAATACTAATTCTGTGTACCTTGTCTAATAAATACACAAAAGTAATAGCATTTTTCAAAAAGCTTAAGTGAAATGATTATATCTTGTCATACTTTTATGTACTATAAAAGAAAAATTATTTTAAAATGATTTTAGGTGAAAACAGCAGTATTACTAATAAAATTTGAAACCTTAAAAATTAGGTAAGGAAATATTTTTGGTGATGATAATGAAATTTGCTTTTAACCATTTTAGGGTGTTTATGGGCCAAAAGCATACGTGGCAACCCAAGGTCCTTTAGCAAATACAGTAATAGATTTTTGGAGGATGATATGGGAGTACAATGTTGTAGTAAGTATTTATCTTTCACAATCTATTTTGAGAAGTATTACATGTAGTGACTTAGGATGTTTTACTGAATTAATACTTGGAAGCACTTTTTAGCCATAATAATATCTCAATGATAGCTAATGGGTACTAAAAAGCCAAAAACTGATTCTAGGATGTTGCATTAATTTAGGTAAAAAGAGGGTGTGATAATTTTAAATCTTGTACTATGTCAGTAACTAATAAGACAGCTCCTAAATAAGATGAATTGATAGACAGATGGATAGAGGGACAGCTATATGACAAATCAAGTATAATGAAATATTAATTGTAGAAAGTAGATGGTAATTATACAGTGTTTATTATAAAGTTATTTCAACTTTGCTTTATGTTTGAAACATCTATATATATAAAAAGCCAGCAACTGGAATGCTGGAACGACCGGTCGCTATGATGCTCTCAGTGGCAAGCAAACCACCTGATCTGGGGTAGGGCTGGCTGGCCAACTTCTCACAGGCCCCCCACCCCCCGCCCTGATCCCAATTGCCCTCTCCCACCTCAATCAAGGTGGGGCAGCTGGCCAACCCCCATCAACCCCTGCCCCTTGCCAGTCCCACATTGAATGCCCTCCTTACCCCAGTAGGGGGCGCGGCTGGCCATCCAACCTGCAGCCACTCCCCCTGCCCTGCCCTACCCCAATTAAGTCCCCCAACCCATCTGCCCGAGGTCCCTCCTTCAGCCAGCTCCATCCCTGATCAGGCCTCCCCACCCCACTCCAATCAGGGGCAAGGCCAGTGGTTATGGCCCCGCCCCCAATCAGCCCCCACACCAATTAGGGGCAGGGGTGGCTGGCCCACTGCCCACAGCCCCTCCCCACGGTCAGCCCCACTCCCGATCGGGTCTCTCACCCCAATCAGGGGTGGGCCCACTGGCCAACCTCCTGCCATCTCTTCCTGACAGGCCAAACCCCACCCGTGCATGAATTCGTGCACTGGGCCTCCAGTTATATTATATAATATTGCAGTGGGGAAGCAAATGTAATGCCCTTACATTTAAAGACAGTTGAGTGCATTTAACCTTTAGCTAATTTTGCTAAATTCTAAGTCAAATAAATCTACAAGATTCATAAAATTTAATTTGTTGCTATAAAGCCCTTATTTGGAAGATATGATTATAATCATGTATATAACTCATACTTTTCATATTAAAACTACTACTTTTGGCAGGTCAAGTATACTTTTGCTCAGAGTAAAAAGTAATTCTTGAAATTTATATTTTATTAAAGAGAGAAAGTTGTGATAAATTCTTCCTCTTATCCCACCCCACTTCTTTTTAGATCATTGTAATGGCCTGTCGAGAATTTGAGATGGGAAGGGTATGTATACCTATTAACACTTAAAATAGTAATGGTGTATCTTTTTTGTAACTATTTCTATGGATATATATTCCTGGTCTTTTATTATGTTCTGAACTCTAGTAGCTAAAGTAGATGCTATTTTTCTTTTTTATGTTTAAGTATATTTTATTATAAAATAAAAATAATAATTTTTTTGTTGCTTAGTAATCTTCAAATATGTAATGGTGGTGTAAGTAGAATACTATTTATGGACCAAAGTAGAGAGGTATTTTAAAAGTAGAGAGGAATAAAATGGAGCAATGAAAATGAGCTAAAATAATTCTGATTATTATAAATTTACAACTTGAATATTTTTAGTTTTCTTCCTTCAAATACCACTACATTTTTTGTTGCTTATGCTATCTTCAAAGAAAATCCTTTAATCTGAAATTTTCAATAATGGTGTTTTTGTACTCTGTATAAGTGAAATTAGTTTCAAATTCACTTGGTCTTTTGCATCAACTAATATGTCTTCATTGTCGGAGGTGATAACTTATTTATAAAATAGATACTAAATAAAACTTTGTGTCCTTTTCTATAAGTGTAACACAAGTCAAACTTACAAAACAAATTATATTGTGATTTGAAGTTTTCTATATACTAATTAGTTCATTAATTAAAGTAAAAATTATTTTGTTGTAAAAATTCTTATTCAGATGTTTTTTTCAGTAAAGGGTATGTTGCAAAAGCAAGATAGAACACATGTAAGATGTTATAATCGATAAATCATTGAGTCCTGCGGATGTTGCTCAGAAGTTGAGCATCAGCCTATGAACCAGGAGATCATGGTTTGATTCTTGGTGAGAGCACATATGCCCAGTTTTGGGCTTGATCCCTAGTAGGGAGTGTGCAGGAGACAGCTGATCCTCTTATCATTGATATTTCTCTCTCCCTCCCCCTTCCCCTCTGAATCAATAAAAATACATTTAAAAAATACTTTGTATTTTAAAAAGTATTCTTTTTTAAAGTTATTTGAACAAATAGTCTTCGTCATTCCTCCCAACCCCATTTTTAAATTTTTAACAGTAGTGGCAAGTATTCAGTAATGTTGGACAGAAAATGAATTATTTTCTAAAATTAGAAATTATACCAAGTAGGAAATTGTTAATTTATCTATTTAAGTACTGTTAGTATGTAGTTCAATAACATTATTATATATAATCTATTAGGATATTTAAATTTTACTCTCCTAACATTTTCTTAAGGTTTAGGACTTACATCTCTTTTTATTCTCTCTCTCTCTGTCTCTCTCTGTCTCTCTCTCTCTCTCTGTCTCTCTCTCTCTCTGTCTCTCTCTTTTTTCCTCTCTGAAATCAATAAAAGTATATTTAAAAAAAAAAAAAGAACAATTGATTGGATAAGTATGCACTGTCTTAGCTTCTTGCCTACTGCTGGCAATTTTTCTGTTTTCTGGGAAGGAATAACGAGCTAAATACCAGCGCACAAAATATTTATAAAAGTTCAAGAAAAACTATGTCATGGTTTACTTACTAACGTTTGTTTTTGTTTTGACAACAGAAAAAATGTGAGCGCTATTGGCCTTTGTATGACGAAGACCCTATAACATTTGCACCATTTAAAATTTCTTGCGTAAGTACTTGTTTATATATATGTATGTTACTTTAATCAGAAAGTTGGCATGCTAGACTGATGAATAATTAAATTATAATATGGTACAAACCCAGTTTTATATAAATCACACACTCAGTGTTTTCATTGTAAATCTACAGTTAATTATCTAAACAAATATTAATAATGTTTTTGTATTGCTTTAAAATTTAGAAGCTTTTGGAATGACTTCATAAATGTATAAATCACTTGTACCCTATGTTTATACTGTTATTCTTTGAATATAATTGATAGTGTTTATACATGAGTAAATGGAATAACTGTGCTTTGGGTGATCAATTTGAAATCCTTGATGGCTGAGATGTAGTTTATCATGTTAATCTTTCATATCTGTTACTCTCTCCAGAATGTTCGAATTATGTACAAAGATAGGTTTAAGAATTGCCATGCTAGCCGAAACCGGTTTGGCTCAGTGGTAGAGCGTCGGTCTGCGGACTGAAAGGTCCCAGGTTCGATTCCGGTCAAGGGCATGTACATTGGTTGCGGGCACATCCCCAGTAGGGGTTGTGCAAGAGGCAGCTGGTCGATGTTTCTCTCTCATTGACGTTTCTAGCTCTCTATCCCTCTCTCCTCCTCTCTGTAAAAAATCAATAAAATATATATTAAAAAAAAAAAAAAGAATTGCCATGCTAGATATAAAGATTGATCTTTGTGGCAGACAATTTGATAAGATAAAATATATGATTTAATGAGCTCTGGAAATGAATTAAATTGAAATTCTAAAAATAACATAGCACAAATCTGAGCAAATGAATTTAAAAAATAAAACAATGAAGAAAAAAAATAGTAAAATATAATCGAGCTTTAAAATAGAAACAATAGTTTGCTTTGGGTTTCACATGACCTAAAAGAAGTGTATTTTCTTATTTACTCTATTCAAAAGATCCAGGATTGAGCAAACATGAAAATTCAATAACTAATATTAGTCAAGGTTTTCTGGAGAAAGAGAACCAATACGATGTGTATCTATAAAGGGAAAGAGATTAATTATTTGGAATTGGCTCACATGATATGGAGGCTGGCAGGTCCAAAAGCTGCAGGGTGGGTGAGCAAGCTCGAGACCCAGGCGAGCTGATGTTCAATTCTAGTTCAGACAGTCTGTTATAGAACCAGGAAGAACTGATACAGCAGATGAAAGCAGTCTGTTGGAAAATTCTCTGTTATTGGGGGCGGGGGGGAAGGCTCTGCTCCTTTTGTTCTATTTAGGCCTTGACTAATTAGATAAGGGTCACCCATACTATAGAGGGCAATCTGCTGTACCTAAAGTCCACTGATCTAAAAATTAATCTCACCCAAAAACAACCTCACAGAAACACCAAGAATAATGTTTGATCAAATATTAAACATTTGATATTAATCACTCAATGGTCCAGTCAAGTTGACACATAAAATTAACTATCACATTCCTCATCTCAGAATTGCTTGATTTTTACTTTGTTTTTCATGGTTCAATGATAAACAATTTCTATGATTTTATTTGTCATTGGTGAGTTCAAGAAGCCCATAATTTTATGATTTATTTGTACTTATAACTTGTGAATTCCTCTCATGCATACCAAAGCTTAGTGCTTCCTAGGTTGATACAGAAAGGACTCAACTTACGTTACACAGTCTCCTTTATAAATACAATGTGTTTTTGTACTGTTAACTATAACTCAGAGTTAACTGCCTGGATATAATATGAAGTCAATACTTTAAAGTTCTGGTTAGAATGAACTGTTTGTTGTGTTAAATATAAGCGTTTTAAAAAATCATGTTGCATTTCATATTATTTGAAATTAATAAAAATCAATACATACCGTATTCTCTACTTCTATGAGGGGACACTTCCCCCCTCACCAGCCCAGGAAGTATTTTACAATATTAATTCCCTAACAGTCCAGTACTGTGCAGTGTGGTTGCATTGAACATTTGCAAATTTTAATGTAGTAACTGTACTTAGTGTTAAAATTTGGGTGAAAATACATAGAGCTTAACATTCAACAACAAAAACAACTTTAAAATTTTCAACATGGTTTATAATATGAAAAACAGATGAATTTTGGGGTGATTTTTCAGTTGAACTAAAAATAGTTACAGAGTTCTTGATGAGGTTTGACTTCATTTGTCAGCCTTGGGATTAATTCTTGCTGTAGAAATAAAATTTTTCTTATAAGATTTCAAATTGCAAAATAATTTGGCCTGGCTGATGTGGGTCAGTCAGTGGTAGAGTATCAACCTAGGAACCAGGTGGTCCAATTCCTAATCAAAGCAGATGCCTGGGTTGCGGTCTCGGTCCCCAGTGTGGGGTGTGCAGGAGGCAGCCAGTCAATAATTCTCTCTCATCATTGATATTCCTATCTCTCTCTCCCTTTTTCTCTCTGAAATCAAATACACACACACACACACACACACAGCTATTTATTTATATTTAAAAGGAAGGTAATTTGTCTTGTGATTATTTCAGACAACTTAGGATTTGTTATCACTGATGTAAACAAAAATCAAATTTAGAAACAAGTTGGTGAAAGTAACCATAGTAAGTGATTTGATTATTTGACAGTCAGAGTTTGAGACTAAGGAAGGACAGTATCAGGAGCTCTCTTGGTTTGGAATGAGGAGAGTAAAGTGTCAGTGGAAGTGAGAGGAATGGCTAGTAGGAGCTCAGTCATGGATCACAGTTGCTGTCTGTAATCCATTTAGACCAGATGTTGGCACACTGTCCGTGGGTCAGTCTAACCACTACCTGTTTAGTAAACACAAGTTTTATTGGATTACAACCAGGCCCATTAATGTACATATTTGCCTATCACAACAGCAAAGTTAAGAGATAGAGACTTTATGGCCTGCAAAGCCAAAAATATTTACTAGTTTTACAGGCAAGAAAAAAATTAAGTCTTGGGCCAATGTTTATATTCATACTCATTTAGATGAAAACAAACAAAAATACTTTTCCCTTAATGTTATTTGAAAAGTTCAAAGTAAATTAATATGATTTTAAAAATTAAAACAGAATAGTCGAAACCGGTTTGGCTCAGTGGAGAGAGTGTCGGCCTGCAGACTGAAGGGTCCCGGGTTCGATTCCGGTCAAGGGCATGTACCTTGGTTGTGGGCACATCCCCAGTAGGGGGTGTGCAAGAGGCAACTGATTGATGATTCTTTCTCATCAATGTTTCTGACACTCTATCTCTCTTTCTTCCTTTCTTTGAAAAATCAATAAAATATATATTTTTAAAAATTAAAGCAGAATAATATTGGTTTTTTTTGTTTGTTTGTTTGTTTTTTATCAATAAAACAGAATATGTTGCCCTTTACAGTCATTGCCTATGGTTTTAACTACTGAGGTAAAACATAGTTTGCTTAGGGACAAACTGACAGTTTTTATTCTAATACTTTGATAAATGATAGTAAAAGACTTTTAAAGTGGTATTCTCCTTAATCAGAATAACAATTTGGCAGTTTCTGAGAATATCCTTCCTTCTACAGTTGGCATCCAGTTAACTGAGAGTTGAGTGTTAAGTAGGGAAAGTAAAAATGTAACGGTTGAAGGTGGTGGTAGGTACTAAGAAGTAACATTTTGTGTGTATTATTTCTATCGCATGGTTCTGGTGATGTTTGTTACTTCTACTGGGAAATAGAGTTTTAGTTAAGTAAATAGTTAGCAGATACTTCTATTTAAAAGTATATATACGCCAGCCTCTTTCTCTTCAACGAAGCAGTGGAGTAGCGACCCCAGCAGACACAGAATTGCAGATCTTTGTGAAGACCCTGACTGGCAAGACCATCACTTTTGCGGTTGAGCCCAGTGACACCATTGAGATTACCAAAGTAAAATCCAAGACAAGGAGGGGACCCTGCCTGACCAGCAGTGTCTGATGTTTTGAGGTCAAATAGCTGGAGGATGGCTGCATTCCCTCAGACTACGGTATCCAGAAAAGAGTCTACCCTGGCTTGGTGATTTGTCTGCGTGGTGGCAGCATTGAGTCGTCCCTATGCCAGCTCGCCCAGCACTACAATTGTGACTTGTTACACCTACCTGCACCCCCGCACTGTCAACTGCCAGAAGTGCAGCCACATCAACAACTTGTACCCCAAGAAGGTTAAACAAGGCCCCTTCACCACCTCTTCAGCCCAGATAATGGCCTTCAGCCTCAATCCCAGGGCCCTAAGGCCTCAATAAAGTTGCACTTTTGTTGAATGGGGGGAAAAATACACACACACACACACACACACACACACACAAATAAAAAAAACAAGTTCATGGCTTTTAGAATGATTATTTTTATAATTACTAGGTACACCAAGTAATTGTTAATTTTATGGTGTAGACTTTAAATATGAGTTTATTGTTTGTTTTGGTATGTTCTGTATATGTTTTAATGTTACTGACTCACAAGTGTTTCTCCCTTTATTTAGGAAGCTGAACAAGCAAGACCAGACTACTTCATTAGGACACTCTTACTTGAATTCCAGAATGTAAGTATTTTTCACTTAGAGATAATTTCAAAGGATAATTAAAAAAAAAAGATTATTGTATTGCTTTTTAGAGAGAGAGAAAAGAGGGAGAGAGTAATATCAATGTGAGAGTGAAACATCAATCTGCCTCCTCCACATCCCCTACCGGGTATCTAGCTAGCAACCTGGCCATGTGCCCTGACTGGGAATCAAACCATCAATCTTTCAATGCATGGAATGACGCCCAGGCAACTGAGCCACACCAGCCAGGACTCTAGAGATAATTTTTAAAGAGAAGGCATAAATAATAAACTATCTTACATAGTTAAGGAAACTTTTTAGTTATGTACAATAATGAAGAAAATCAGAGTAGTTTTATTTAGTATCTTGAGCTTTATGCTTATAAAATTAGATAGGAATATAATATAAATAATAATAAAATACATAAAGTAAGATAAATTTTAACTTACTTAGAACTGCTCTCCCTAAATTAAGTTTACTGTATTTGGAATAGTTGGTTTCTTTGCTGTAAGTGTGTTCTATTGCAATAGCATTGTTTAGGTGATTATTACCCACTTGTACAGTTTATAGTACTTTAGAAAGAGACTAACTACCATCATAGGTAAGTTGTCATTTAGGTACCTATTGTTTTCACTCAAGGGCCCTTGACTTCAGTTTTTCAGAGCTATCTGGACTGATAATTTGTTTAGGGAGAGATTGAAGAAAAAATCTGATGCCATTAGAGAATGCTTATCAACTTCTTCCTCAATTTCTCTATTTTTATTATCTTTGAAACCATATTATATAATTTAGCTTGATGTGAAGTTCATCATCCTTCCCCATCTGATGCATCTGTAAATGTACTTACAACTCTTACTTTGCTGTTTATAAGAAAACATGGTACTAGTACTCTTACTCTCCCCATGCTGACTTGACTGATCATGTTCCTTTAGTTGAGTTATTTATTATACTTTTGGTTGCTACTTTTAAATTTATAGTGATAATGATAGGTACTTTATTAAATTTCAATAATGTATCAGGCATTTCAAATAGTGGTTGTCTCCATTGCAGATTGATGAAGGAAGATATAGTCTTTAACAAGTTAACTATCTTATGTAAAATTACTCCAGTAAATGGCAGAAATAGAAATTGAAATTGAATACAGTTTTAATCTGGATTCAGAGCAGGTGTTCTTTCAGTTAAACTCTTAGAATAACCATTCTTATGGTTTTTGCATAGCAGAACTCTTACATTCTTAAAAAATTATTAAAGATTCAAAGATCTTTTGTTTAATGGGTTATATCTTTCAATATTTACTATTTTGGAAATTTAAACAGAAGAAAACTAAAAGGCATGAATACACAAGCATATATTCTATTAGCTTTCAAAGTGATCACATTATCGTAAGTCAAGTAGTCTGGGGGGCCCTACTGTACACACATGAGAGAATGAGAGTGAAAGGCAAATAGAGAATACATTAGTACTATTATAAAAATAGTTTAAAACTCACAGATCCTCTGAAAGTGTCAGGGGTTGGGAGTTCCCTCACACATACTTATCTGAAAGAAGACAAATGAGTTTGGGTTGAACAGGTTCATTTCTAATTTTTGGTTTAAATATTCTGTTAGTCTTCTAAAGTAATTGCAGTAGATTCTAACATAGTGTTTATGATATATTGTTCATCCACTTAATGCTCTGGATTAATTAAATAGTATATACAGTGTGATGTTTAAAGTGCATGTTCTGGAGGTAAGACTGCCTGAGTTCAGATCCCACATTGGTCACTTGCTATGAAATGTTAAACAGGTTATTTAATCATATCTCAATTTTCTTACCTATAAAATGAGAATAGTATTAACATCTTTCTTATGACATATGGTGATTAAGTACTAGGTAGATGGTAAATAGTCAATAAATGTAGACTATCACTAATTTGTTTGTTTTTATTTTTTTGTTTTTAGAGAGAGCGGTAGGTGGGGGGAGAGAGAGCGAGAGATACTGATTGGTTGCCTCCAATACACACTTCGACTGGGGATTAAATCCACAACCTAGTTTTTTTTTTCTTAATGTAATACTGAATACCATATAACTACGTTGAAATGGCAGTAAAGTGAGATATGCAGCTTTTTTATATGTTTTAAGGTTTGCAAATGTATTTTTATTATTGAATTTTTGTTCTTGAAGGAATCTCGGAGGCTATATCAATTTCATTATGTGAACTGGCCAGACCATGATGTTCCTTCATCATTTGATTCTATTCTGGATATGATAAGCTTAATGAGGAAATACCAAGAACATGAAGATGTGCCTATTTGTATCCATTGCAGGTACAAAAGAATTTTCCAAATATTTAAGTACTTTGGAATATAGGTGGCCTTATAATATGGGTGATATATTGTATTTTGGAGCCTAATATTTGAATTTCCTTAGGTCATTATATGGATTCACAAATCATAAAAGCTATCTGAATCCTAATGCAACTTTTCTTCCCTTAATCTTTAATTTACATTAGTTTATTTTCGAAGACTTGCATAGTACTTATTTCATAAAATGCTATCAATTTATCTTTTTAAGTGACTTGGATATTTACTGGTTAATTAATTCAGTAGTTAAATGGAACACTAAAGATATTTTCTTATCTAACTGATCTGATTGTAAAGCTTACATTAGTAAAATGGCTGTTTTTTTTTTTTGTTTTTTTTTTTTGAGCCAGAAAAGGTGTCTTGTTGATGGAGATGTGACAGTCAATTAACAAGTTGATTAATTTAAAAATATTATTATGGCCCTGGCCGGTGGCTCAGTGTATTATCCCGTACACCAAAAAGTTTCCAGTTCAATTCCTAGCCAGAGTACATACTTATAGATTTGATCCCCAGGGTTTGTACAAGAGGCTACCGATCTGTTTTTTTCTCTTTCACATATCTCCCCACCTCTCACTTCCTCTCTAAAAATCAATAAAAGTGTATCATTGGTGAAGATTTAAAAAAAATTTTTTCCCCCTGTAGTTAATTTAGCGGTTAGTTGACTTTTAATCAAGTAGTTGACTGGTTACAAAGAAAAAAAGACCTACTTAATTGTAAAATTAAAAGATAAAGCAAATTCTTTGACTTGTTTACAAATTAGTTGAAATTATAAATAGTTTAAACATCCAGTGGCAAAATCTTTGGGCACATCTGTAATTATTTCATAAGTCTAGATATCAAAAATAAGTTTTCATTGATTTTAGAGAGAGGGGAAGATAGAAGGGAATGAGAAACATCAATTATTGTCTCCAGTATGCGCTCCAACCAGTGGCCAGGAACCCAACTGGTGATCTTTCAATGCACTGATGCTCAACCAACTGAGCCATAGTGGCCAGGGCAGGAAAGAGATCTAAAAATGGGATATCTAAGTCAAAGGAATGTGAAATTTTTAGTTCTTTTTAATGCATGCTATTAAATTTGTTATCCATAAAGCTGATGTTAATTATAAATAATCCTACCACTGTCAGTTTGTGTGAGTGCCTATTTCCCCAGAGTTGCCCCAGTACTTTAATACCTGTGATAGGCAAGCTTTTCCTTTTTTATTTTATGTTATTTATGTTCTTTTGTGAATTGCTTGTTTGTGTGCATTGCCAGTTTTATAGTAGTAGTCATTTATCTCTTAATAATTATACACTACAAATTCTTTATATATTGGAGGATGTTAACTTTTTTTTTAATTTAATTTTTTATTGACAGTATTACAGATGTCTTTCTTTTTTTCTTTTAAATATATTTTATTGATTTCTGAGAGAGAGGAAGAGAGAGGGATAGAGAGTTAGAAACATTGATGAGAGAGAATCATCGATCAGCTGCCTCTTGCACACCCCTACTGGGGATGTGCCCGCAACCAATGTACATGCCCTTGACCGGAATCGAACCCGGAACCTTTCAGTCCGCAGGCTGATGCTCTAGCCACTGAGCCAAATGGGTTTCGGCAGGATGTTAACTTTTGATTGTGGTTTTTCATGGTTTTTATTCTGCCTGATTTGCCATATATAAATTTTAAATTATGTACTCAGAGTTGTTTCTCTCTTCATTTATGATTTATGTCTATTGAGATATGTTTAGAAAGTCCTTTCCTAACACAGTAGAGCTTAAAGTTTTGCCTATATTTTTAGCATTTTATATGTTTTTTTTTTTTTTAACATTTTATTTTTACTCCATCTGTAATTTTTTTTATGATTAAGGGCGGAGGTAAGAATTCACTTTTTGCTCTCCATTGTTAGTGAACTTTCCCTTTATCATTTATTGAGTGGTCTACTCTTTCCCCTTTGATTGGAGAATTCACCATTATGTAATAAATACTTACATATGCTCAGATCTGTTTCTGAACTTTCTGTTGTGCTTCATTTATCTAGTTTTCTGTGTCTCTGTATTTATTACACTTTTAACCATCAAGTTTAAAGTATGTATTATTTAGCCCTTGTAATTCTTGACTCTAAAATTCTAGAAATGTTTTAGAAATGTGTGGAATTGACAAATGTATCAATTTAAAATGAATATTCTATTCATTGTTAAGAGCTATTTTAAAATTATAATAATTTGCTTATAATGTACTTTATCAGAACTTTCTGGATTATGTGTTTAACAAACTACTCATACTTTTGGAATAAATTTATCTCTGCAAGATATTTTGTTAACTAAGGTTTTCTGAGGTAGAATTAGACTTCCACAGTAAAGGCTCCTAGGTATTCTGTGAGTCACTATTGAAAGTTCTTTAAACTTAATAAAAATAAGATCTAAATGCTAATGTTAAGGTGCACTTACAGTATTTTAAGTACTATAAGTAGAATTTTGTCAAATTTCTTTAAAACAAATTTGCTTCTAAATATATTAACATGCTTTTTATTTTACAGTTTATCATAAAAATTAAATTGTGTTTTCAAATTTTATATTCATAGTGCAGGCTGTGGAAGAACAGGTGCCATTTGTGCTATAGATTATACGTGGAATTTATTAAAAGCTGGGGTAAGGATATTTTTATATAATATTATATCCAATTGATCTCTTATGATTTTCAAATATAGTGACTAATTGCAGTAGATTACAGCATATGTTTTGTTTTTGTTTTTTAGAAGTAGCTTTGCTATGTATGAAATACAGATTAGCAAAAAGTAATAAATGATACATTTTACTTGAGATAATACACTGGCAGCAAGGTAAACTTGTCACCCATTTGTTCTATGAATTAATATCTACGTTAGGGATGTAAAATCTGCATTGACTTTTCAAAATATAGAACCCTTGTTGGCCAAACTGCCCAGATTAATATGCTGGTTCTATCATCTACCAGCTGTGGAATCTTGGTCAAATTGCTTAATCTCATTGTGTCTTAATTTCTTGATCTAAAAATCAAAATTATAATTTAATAATTTATAAGAATTAAGTTAACCATTGTAAAGTTCTTTATATGTGTGGCACATAGCAAGTGCTGTTTAGTGTTTGTTTTTATTACTATTGCTGCTATTATTGCCACTACTATTATCAAAAAATTGTGTATAGTACTATAGAGGATATAGAGAGAAATAAAATACAGCTCTTATTATGGATTTGAAAAACACCATTCTCCTATTGTACATAGATTTGGTTTATTTGTTGATTCTATAATATGCTTGTTTTCTATGCATTAGCGAAAAGCCTTTAATTCCTCATAGCTTTATGGTTTCCCTGAATATGAATATTTCCTGAATATATCTTGTATAAAGTAGGATTAATAATATTTCATTTCTTTCCTTCTTTACTTCTATTCTTTTTCTTTCCCTTGTCATTTTGTCAGTTTTCACTTTTGCTAGGGAATATTTAAATTTTAGAGTTTCTGATAAAACCCTCTGGGATTAAGTTTTATTTTTATATTCTTCAAAACTAATCTAATACTCAATTGAAAAAATTTAAGTGAATAAAATTTAGGTAGGCATCTATCACATCCTATATAACAAAAGGCTAATATGCAAATTGACCGAATAGCTGAACAACTGGTAGCTATGATACACACTGACCAGTAGGTGGTAGATGCTCAATGCAGGAGCTGCCTCCTCGTGGTCAGTGCCCTCCCACATGGTGAGCACTGCTCAGCCAGAAGCCAGACTTACCGCTGGCAAGCACAGGGGCAGTGGCAGGAGCCTCTCCCGCCTCTTCTGCAAGAGGGCAGTAAGGAGCAGTGGTCACAGATTGCAAGAGCCCTGGACTGAGAGGATGCAGGCCGGCAGAGGGACCCCTTCCTCAGTGCACGAATGTTGTGCATTGGGCGCCTAGTTTTAACATAAAAGTCAGAAATTAAAATTCAGATTGGAAGGGGCATTTAGATGAATAGTAGCAAGCAAAAAAAACTTCTGATTATTTCAAGAATTATGTTTTTGTTTTTTTTTGTTGTTTTTTTTTAACATAGTCCCCATTTGATTCAGTTTGACTTGACATAAGTATAGTCTTGGGCCTATAGGTTAGGACTTGATGTAAAAATCTTTTGATGGGCCCTGGCCAGGTAGCTCAGTTGGTTAGAATACACCCGATATGCCAAGGTTTCAGATTTGATATTTGAGCTGGGCACATGCATCTATCAGCCAATGAATGCATAAATAAGTGGAAGAACAAATCTTTATCTCTTACATCATAAATTTTTTACAAATTAAAAAAATATCTTTATATATGGAAAGACTCCCAGGTAAGTAAATATGGGAATTGTTCTTAACATCTTTATCACTCCAAAATATTCTTATTCATTTCTAATTTCTAATAGTTTTGCCTCAGAAATGTGCCTGCAATCTGTTTCTACCTGTCTGTCTTTTTGAAATATTGCTTCAGTGTACCTCTGCCGAGTTTCTCTTCTTTTCAGAATGCCATCTTCCTTGCGACAAAAGTTGCTTGAATATAAAGTTTGCTCATGCCAGGGTTGCATACTTCAGTGGTTTAATTACATATGTACAAAAGATTTGTCTAGGATAATCAGTCTCCAGGGATGTAGTTAAGAGATCTGATTTTTTCCTAGCTCTCTTAGACGGTCCTTGTATAGCTAGCCTAGGAAACATTGGGCTGTGGAATGAGTTTAAACTCTTATTATTTTTATATTAGAGGCCCAGTGCACTGTTCCATGCACTGGTGGGAGGGCATGGCCCGCTGTGGGAGAGCTGCTCATCCCTGTCAGCTGAGCAGCACTTCCACAAAGGGAGTGCACTGACCACCAGGGGGGCAGCTTCTACCTTGAGCAACTCCTCTCTGGTGGTCAGTGCATGTCATAGCAGCTGGTCAACTGTTCATTCTGGTCATTCAACCATTTGGTCGCCGGGCTTTTATTATATAGGACTAGAGGCTCAGTGCACAAAATTCGTGCACAGGTGGGGGGAGGGTCCCCTCAGCCCAGCCTGTACCCTCTCCAATCCAGGACTTCCCTGGTATTGGGCCACTGGCTCCTCACTGCTCACTGGCCGCCTGCCAGATTACCCCTTTTTGTTTCCCCTGCCAGCCTGGTCGCCCCATGCAACCTGCTGTTCAGTCATTTTGTCATCCCTCACTAACCCCTGCTGGCCTGGTTGCCCCACATAGCCTGCTGTTCGGCCGTCCATCTTGTTTAGGTCATGACAGCCCTTGTCTTTTACCCTGTTTTCCCGAAAATAAGACAGTGTCTTATATTAATTTTTGCTCCCAAAGATGCGCTAGGTCTTATTTTCAGGGGATGTCTTATTTTTCCAAGAAGAAGAAGAAAATATTTAATTTAATACATTTATTGTTAAATGAAAATAAAGGAAATTTATTACCTGTATACGGTACGCTAGTTGTCAACACAAACCAGACAAACTGAATCCTACAGCATTAAGAATTTATTCATTTATTCAATGACAATCATGTCATCATTTTCTGGAACATCATAACAATCCAATTCCTGAATTTCCTGGTGAATTTCTTCTGACTCCTTTTCTTTCAGAATCAGTGGACCAAATCTCTCATGTTTAGCCTAGGGGGCCTTATTTTCGGGGGGGACGCCTTATATTTCACTCAGAAGGAAACCTGTAAGTAGGTCTTATTTTCGGAGAATGTCTTATTTTTGGGGAAACACGGTACTATATTAGGATAGTATGATCCCAACTACATAGCCTATCTTCTCTCCTCTTTTGAATACCTCTCCTTTCAGTCTTAGGCTTTATCCACATCAAGCTTCTCAACTCTCCAGATTACATTTCCTTCACTCTTCACTCCATACACCAATCAGAATTAGTCATAGTATCTTTATTCCCATTGCAGTGCAGTCATGGCGTGGCTGGACATTTTTTGTTGTTCATGTATCTGGTTCACTAGCTTGACTGTTGAGAGTCAAGGTGAGCTTTAGGTTTACAATGCCAAGCAGTTTTTGATACAAGATAGGTAGTATTCAGAATGTTTTCAGTTAGCCAGCATGTGTATAATGTAGAAGGTCTATATGAACAAGACTTTTTCTGAAGAGTTATCCAGAGTTCATGTATTATATTCTTTGTTTTAGAAAATACCAGAGGAGTTTAATGTATTTAATTTAATACAAGAAATGAGAACACAGAGGCATTCTGCAGTACAAACTAAGGTATAGTTTTTTTGATTCACTTTATAAACTATATTTTTAGATTTGCCTTTTGGGGTTTTTAATGTCTTTCCTTTGTTTACCTCTCTCTAATAGGAGCAGTATGAGCTTGTTCATAGAGCTATTGCCCAATTGTTTGAAAAACAGCTACAACAGTATGAAATTCATGGAGTCCAAAAAATTGCTGATGGAGTGGTAGGTGTTGTTGGCCTATTAATTTTAAAAATCCTTTTACCAAGATGTAATGTTTAGCTTTTTAATTGTCATCTGTGTCTTAGCTAACCTGAGACTATCCGTTATTATTTTTATTTAATCTTGATTGTAACTCCTTTCCTGTTTCAAACACTCAACTATGATGGATATTTAATAACTCCAATATAAGTTAAGTAATATTCTAAACAATACATTAGGAAAGTAGTTCTTAGGTCAAAATTCATATAATTTTTTTATTGTTTCAAGTGTAAATTACTTTTTTAAAAATTGGCTGCATTGTTCCATAAACCAAAGAGTTCAAACCTGAAGAAAGGCTTAAAGAGTTTATTTGAGCCAAAGCTGAGGGTCAGACTTGAAAGCAAAATTTCATTGCTTTGAGAAAATGTTTTGAAGAATGACCATTTTGGAGTTTATTTATACAGTAGAATCAAAGCAGATGTAAATAAGTTGACAGTCCATTGGTGGTAGAAGGAGGCAGGAGAAAGTAAAACAGGAAATCTCTGGGATTGGTTAAAAAGCAAAACAGAAAGGTACATATTTCTTTTACATTGGTGGATGCAGGATAGTTAATATTTAATATAGTTTACATAGTTTACAAAGGTATGCAGGTAAGATATAACAATGAGGAATGTTAGGGGTGTCTTGCCCCAGTACTGATATTTATTTCTGGAGGCTGGGAGAAGAGATCATTGTGACATTTTAAGTATATTTCCTTTGATCACAAAAACAATATATAGGACTTGCTCAAGGTAAAGATCTATCACATAGGCCTATGACCTCACTTCCCATTATTACCTGTTGATTTAGGAATTTTTATAATCAAAACATCCTGTGTCATTACCTTCAGTTACTGAGCTTGTTGGGCCTGCCTGGTAGCCAGCCCCCCTTTCCCTTCACAATTCTCTTTCCCCGCTGCCTGATTCTACATGAAATTTATTTATTCTTGGTCATGATAATGTAAAGTTTTATAGTTTTTTATACATGGTTTTTAATTAACCAGAATTATAGGGCCATAATTGAGTCCCTTTTTGTCATGACTTAATTCAATGTTATTTTATCCTTAAAAGATCTTACTGGGGAGAAGGCAGGATTAATATGGCAGAGGCTGATTGGGTGGTTGGTGGAAAAGGTGAAGGGGATTAAGAAATACAGACTGTCACCGTAGCCAGTTTGACTCAATGGATAGAGCATTGGCCTGTGGACTGAAGCATCCCGGGTTCGATTCTGGTCAGGGACATATGCCTGAGTTTTGGGCTTGATCCCCAGTAGGGGCTTGCAGGAAGCAGCCAATTAATGATTCTCATTGTTGATGTTTCTATCTCTCCCTCTCTCTCCCTCTCTGAAATCAATTAAAAAATATATGTATTATAAAAAAGAAAGAAATACAGACTGTCAGTTATAGATAGTCACTAGGATGAAATTTACAGTATAGGGAATATAGTCAGTAATATTGTAATACCTGTATGATGCCAAATGGTTACTAGAAATAATAGTGATCACTTTGTAAGGACTATAAATGTCTAACATTATGTTGTATACCTGAAACTAATATGTGTCAACTATCATTTAAAGTTAAATTTTAGCCCTGGCCTAAAAGTAAAACAAAAACAAAAACAAAAACAATAACGACAACAAAAAAATTAGCCTTGGCTGGTTGGCTCAGTTACTTGGAGCATTGTCCCATACACCGAAAGGCTGCGGGTTTGATTCCCAATCAGGACACATACGTAGGTTGTGGGTTTGATCTCGGGTCTGGGTGTATATAGGAAGAAACTAATCTATGTCGCTTCAGATTGATGTTTTTTTCTCTTCCTCTTCCTCTCTTCCCCTCTTCCCTCCCTCCCTCCTAATCTCCCACCCTCTTCTCTCTAAAAATCAATTTTAAAAAACAACAACATATCCTCCTCAGGTAATAATTAAAAATGAAAATGATAATGGTAAATTTTAGTAAAAAATATTTTATTGGATATCGAAATTTTTTAAATATATATTTTAGTTATTTCAGGGAGGAAGGAAGAGGAGGAGAGAGAGACAGAAATACCAAGGATGAGAGAGAATCCTTGATTGGCTGCCTCCTACATGCCCCCTACTAGGGATCGAGCCCTAGTAGGGCACAAACTGGGTATGTGCCCTGATCAGGAATCGAACCCGTGACCTGCACATGCTAGGCAGATATCCAAGCTTTTGATCTGATAAAAATATATATTCTTATATTCTCCTTTCTGCCTGTTTTTAGCTCTCCTCTTTCCTCTATATAATCACCTGTCCTTAAAGATTTGGGGCTATTTTTTTTTTTTTTTTTTTTTTTTTTTTTTTTTAGTAAAAAATGTTTTACATTTTTATCATTGAACCTAAGACAACTATCACATGATAAACCAACTTAATTCCAATAATTGAAGTAAAATGAGGAAATGAGTTGCAAAACGTGTAACTTTTGTTTTCCTCTTTCCATGGTTTTGGCAATTTCCCAGACTATTTGTTTGAACTTTCTTGGTTTTCTAAATGAAAGATTTGTTATCAAATGCAGCTCTCAATGTGTTAGTATAATCTAATAATAATCCTTGAGTTGTAGGAACTGTATTCTTCCTTTATAAGCTGAGTGAAAATTTCAGATTTGTAAAAATTCATTTATGTGACCTCATTCTTATTTCCTTCATTAACAGAGGAATGATTGTATAAATAGGCCTCATACATTGCTATCATATTTTCCCATTAGTTTAACTAAAGCCTGTTATAATCTGAGCTTAATGTAGCCAAATAGTTTATAATATAGAATAGAATGCTAACATATTATTGCATATAATTTTACCTAAATTGGGATGCATGAATTTTCAAAAAGCTAAGTAGGTGTGCATTTTCCTTTAAATTTTAATTGAAAAATATACTAATTTCCCCCCATAAATAACAGTATTAATTTCAGAGTTTAAGGTTTTTATACTACAGAAATACAGATGTTTTAAACTCTAATATCCTTTGTATATAGAAATGAAAAATATCCTAACCATTACTTTTTCCTTTTCATTGAATTTATTGGGGTGACACTGGTCAATAAAATATTACATGTGCACAGTTTTGTGCAAAATTTTCAAGTGCACAATTCCACAACACATGATCTGTACACTGTATTCTGTGTTTACCACCCCAGATCAAGTCTCTTTCCATTTCCATTTATCTCACCATATCCTTTTGCACCTCCCCTGGCCCTAACCATTACATTTAAAATATATATATATATTTTATTGATTTTTTTACAGAGAGGAAGGGAGAGGGATAGAGAGCTAGAAACATCAACCAGTTGCCTCCTGCATACCCCCAACCGGGGATGTGCCCGCAACCAATGTATTATACATGCCCTTGACCGGAATCAAACTTGGAACCTTTCAGTCCGCAGATTGACGCTCTATCCACTGAGCCAAACCAATTTCGGCTACATTTTTAATCATATAGAAACTTTTTTTCAAATTTTTTTTATTGTGCTATAATCAACATATGAGTCTATTAGTTTCAGATATACAACATAATGATTGATATTTGTATATATTGTGAAATTATCACAAAAATAAGTCTAGCTCTAGCCGGTTTGGCTCAATGGATAGAGTATCGGGTTGCGGACTACAGGGTCCTAGGTTTGATTCCTGCCAAGGACACATGCCTGGGTTGCAGGCTAGATTCTCCCCCAGTAAGGGATGTGCAGGAGGCAACCAATCAATGATTCTCTCATCATTGATGTATCTATCTATCTATCTATCTATCTATCTATCTATCTCCCTTCCTTTCTGAAATTAATAAAAATATATTTTAAAAAAAAGTCTAATTAACGTTCATTACCACACATAGTTAAAATATTTTTTTCTCTTGTGATAAGGACTTCTAAAGTTTACTCTCTTAGGAACTTTCAGATATACAATACAGATTGTTAGCTATAGTTATCATGTGTACATTATATCCCATGACTTAATCTTCATGCAAGGATATGTTTACTGATTTTAGGGAGAGAGATAAACATTGATCTGCAGTGAAATAGGGCTCTATACACTAATGGACACTAACGTAGTAACAGGGAGTAATAGGACAAGGAATGATTAAAGTGAGTTCTGGGACCTGTTTAATAAATGTACTAGGTAGCAATAGAGGTCCGCAATAGGTTGGGAAGATGAAGGGTATAAGCCTTATTTTGTTGGCTTTTTGCCTCTTCATATTAAGTTTCTAGCATAGTGATGTGTTCAAAAACATATATTTGATCTTTATTTCCTTAGGAAATCTGTTATTTTTTGTTTTTGGGTTTTTTTGTTTTTGTTTTTTGTGCTGAAACCTGGGAAAATCTGTTTCTTTTTATAGTAGTACTTGAAATATGTTGAAATGGTTCTGTACACAATTGATTTTTTAGTAACTGGAGATGGACCGGATTTGATAGCCCCTCAGACTGTAATATGGAATTTATAAGGCCCATTTTGTTACCTGGAAAACTTTGTAATATTTGAAAATTTCAAAAGCCCAGAAACAATTTATTTGAAATATGAGGAAAGAAACTTATTTTTCTCCTAACTTTAATGAAGCATTTTTCCTCTCTTGGCAGAATGTAATTAATACTGAAAATCTAGTCAGCTCCATAGATTCTGACAAACAAGATTCTCCCCCTCCAAAACCACCAAGGACTCGCAGGTATTGTATGTTGAATTTTCTTTGAAAGGACACTTTTATTTTACTGTTTTTTAAAAATAAATGCTGACTAATTTCTAAATTATTTTTGTAATCATTAGTCTTTTGTTTAAGATGTAACATATGTATGGCAATTAATTTTTTACTCTACTACATATATTTTGTTTCACTTGATAAAATTTTAGTAGTATACTGTATAAGAACAGTAAGCATAACCATGTTTTGGTATGTGGTACAGTAAAATTTTAAATATATAAAAGATTACAATTTCTCTTCATGACTATACAGGTAATATGATTGCCAAAAATTATATGAAAATTGAAGAATTTATGTGAAGATGTTTTATAACATTACTAGAAAACATGAATTTATTACTCTGTAGATGTTAGTTTCAGGGGGGATAGCAGTGGTTAGACAATTATATACTTTTCTATGTGATTCCCTTGATAATTCTAGTACCCACCTAACACCATAAATAGTTATTACTAAGCTCATTTATAATAGTTAAACATATACTTTTGTTTTCTTTCTCTCCCATCTCTTTGAGAGTAGCTGCTAGGACAGTGGTCAGTTAATGTGATAGTATGTAAAAGATATAGACAGAGTCAGAAAGACTAAGTTTCAATTCTTTTTCAGCCACTTATTAGTTTTGAGGGTTTTCAGCTTAAGTATTCTCCTAAGGACTACATTAAATAAAGTTTGTGGAGTTATGATCAAGTTACTGAATTATTTGTATAAGGAATCACAGTATGAGAAATGTAATAAAACTGAGAATGACTTGAACTGTCTTATCTCAAGCACATATCTGCCAAACTGATTAATCTTTTCCTCAGAGCAAGTTTTCTTTTACAGAGGATTCACCAATTCTTTCCCCTTAAAAGCTTGATAGAAGTTAACTTATGTTGGGTGAGATGATTAGGGTTATGTGTTGGCAATGAGTCTTTATACCTTAATAAGTTCATTCCTCTTTAAGAAAGAAAAAGATTACAGCTACTCTCAATAACTAAAGCAAATTGTCTGTAGAATATTTTTCTAAGGAAGATCAAGAAACCTAGATAGATGGGTTTAAGTTTCAGCATTCAAATGCTCAGTATGTTAAATGTGCATTAACAAAACTTATGGTATCTACTGAAATTAGAATTTTAATCTCCAATGGAAGGTAGTCAGTTAAAAACTGTAAATTATTAGTTCAACTTCTTTGTCCCATATATGGGAGTCCTAAAAGAAACTGTACTGGCTGTAAATTAAATTAAGAAATATTTTGTTACCCTTAATAACTTTTAATTTTTTTTTGAGATTGAGCCAATTTAAAGGTTTTCAAGCTGTACACTGACATTTGTGATTTATATGGTTATCTACCTCTAACAAATAATTGTAGCCTCTTGTAATTTTGAAGGAAAAAAAATGAATAGAATAGTCAGCCTTTCTCATATATCTTTCTCATATATCTTCTCACAAGTTTGGCTCCTGTTATTCCTTGGTAAACAAAAAGATAAGTAGTAACAGAAAAATGTTCACTCACCTTATATGGGATTTTATTTGGGGATATATGCTCACACATATAGTTTTTTTATATTATTATTATTGTCTAAAGTTTTACAAATGTCTCCTTTTTCCCTGATTGACCCCTCCCCCCCCAAGCCATTCACATCCCGGGCAAGTCCCCACCACCCCAGTGTCTGTTTCCATTGGCTATGCTAATATGCATGCATACAAGTCCTTTGGTTGCTCTCTAACACATAAGTTTTTTATGTGTGACTTTACATTACATGCTAAGGTAAGGTTCTCATATTTTTATTTATTTTTTAATTCAGTAGTGAGTCAAATGGCAGAACTTCATTGTGTTCCTTGTGACTTCTAGGTTGAATTGAGTTTTAGAATTATTGTAAACTAGAGGGCTGGTGCACGAAATCCGTGCACTTGGTGGTGGGAGGAGGCCTGCACTTCTCAGTCTGGGAGCCATTGGACATCCTTAGTGCTGCCACAGAGGCGGGAAAGGCTCACGTCACCACTGCTGCACCCGCCAGCGTGAGTCCAGCTTCTGGCAGGGTGGCGCTCCCAATGGAGTGCACTGACCACCAGAGGGCAGCTTCTGTGTTGAGCAGGATCAGGGCAAAACTGGCTCTTTAACATCCCCTGAGAGGTCCAGCAGTGCATGATGAGGGCTGGGAAGGGACCTGCGGAGAGCTCCAGGGCTTGTCTGGCCTGTTCAATCAGTCCCAATTGACAGGACACCAGCAGCAAGCTAACCTACCAGTCAGAGTGTCTACTCCCTGGTGGTCAGTGTACTCATAGTGAGCGGTTGAGCGCCCTTAGGGTATCATTAGCATATTATGCTTTGAATGTTTGAATGGATGACTGGATGACCGGACACTTAGCATATTAGGCTTTTATTATATAGAATTGTTAACTGAAAATAAAATCACAAGAGCATAAGATGAATTAAAAATTAAAAATAGGCCGAACCGGTTTGGCTCAGCGGTAGAGCGTTGGTCTGCAGACTGAAAGGTCCCAGGTTCGATTCCGGTCAAGGGCATGTACGTTGGTTGCGGGCACATCCCCAGTCGGGGGTGTGCAAGAGGCAGCTGGTCGATGTTTCTCTCTCATCGCCGTTTCTAGCTCTCTATCTCCCTTCCTCTCTGTAAAAAAATAAAATATATTTTTAAAAAAATTAAAAATGGTATACTTTGTTTTTCAGTATGGCTTCAGTAAGTAAGTTAACTGGTTATTTAGACTACATGTTTGTTGTGTTAGATTTAATCTGTCATGTAATTATGCTTTATGCATACTTAATACCTAAATCATTATAAGAAAAGTAATTTTATAAGTTCCCATAAAATATAAATTTGAAACAAGTTATAGTGTTACTCATTTTTAAATGTAGTCAAAGAAATGTAAATTTTCTTTATTATAAAGTCTGAACTTCTTACTGTGAAATTCTGGGCCTTCATAGGATAGCTTCATTTTATCTTTTTAGCATTATTTTTCAATATTTCTCTGTACTCCATAAGGACCCAAACTGTTGTATTCACTGTTTTATCTTCTTCTGGAACTGGTATAATGCTTAGCTTAGCAAGCAGTAGATTCTGAATATTTTGTTTTATTTTTGAAAAGTGAAAAATGCCTTCCTCAGAACAGGTGAAATCAAGAACAATAAAAAGAATGATGCAAATTGTATTTCTTCACTGGAATTTTTTTGCTTCGAAATATCTAGTGAAAATACAAATGTTGGTTAGTATGGTGGTAAATCAGAATATAGCATGTTTTTATGTGACTGGGCATATCATTTTTGTGCACACGAACGTGCTGTAAAGTGTTCTAAGCCTTGTTTCAACCAACCTTAAAATAAGGGAGGATAAGTAAAAAGTCTGTCATTATAATTATCAATCAAATTTGAGTAGCCACAAATACCACACAAAGTACACAAGGAAACTTTTAGAGGTGACAGATATATTTATTACCTTGATTGAAGTAATAGTATCACGGGTATATAAATATGTCCAAATTCATCATATTATATACATGAAATATGTACAGTTTTTTGTTTATTAGCTATACCTTATTAAAGCAACCTTTTAAAATGTGAGTAGCCAAAAATATATTACTTATGTAGATATCAACATCATGCATAGACTACTTTTTCTAAAAGCATTTCTAATATTATTGGTTAAGTAAGGCAGTTTGAATACTTAACTCTGATCCCTTTCTAAACTTTCTAAAATTATAGTGAAGAAATATAAAAATATGTAAAGATATTTTTTAAAAATTGGAGCAGATATGTCATCATATGAAATGTTGACAAAATATAGGAAAGTGAGGAGCACATTGACCAATGAAAAGGGACCTAACAGAACAAAGTAAATTAAAACTTGCTGCCTTATAGGTGGGTAAACGAATAAGAAGCAAGATGATTCTCTTCAAAGAATCCCCAGAGAGGCTCAGAAATTAAAGATCCTACTTAAGGCTCTTGTGTAGGATGGCACTGAAAACAAGAGTACTCGAATGTCTCTCTAAGAGTATTTAGAACCCCAGATTCCTTTCATCAGATTGAACAGACCGATGACTGCTTCTCACATCCTGGGCACACAAAGTAGGAGGGATTTACTCTGGAGTGGCTGAACCAGGGAATCTATTAGATTCAAGGACATCAGGTCCCATTGATGATGGGGTTGTGCGTCTTACTGAAAACAGGAATCTGCATGCTGAGAATGAGATCCTCCAACTCCCTTGCTCTTACCCTTTATTTGGCTCCCAGAATATTGGTAGCTGCTTCTGGTGTTGACTGTATCTCTCGAAAAACTACCAGTCCAAGAGAAGAAAGGTACCATCATTGATGATTATGGCCTACCATTATGCAGTGAGATGATCACTAAGCCTCAAGCCCTCCCCCCTTCATTATACATACACATCTTCCAGTCATTTGTAATATTTCTCTTTTTTTTTTTTTCAGGTGGAATTTAATAGATTAAAATTTTTATGTATACCCCTCCCCCCAGTTAGTTTATATTCAACAATATTCTGCATTAGCCTCAGATGCATAGTGGTTAGACAATGATGCACTTTACAGAGTGAACCAAAGCAGGGAAGATCAGACCTTTGATCCCTTAACTTGAAAGACAGCCCCAAATAAGCAAAAAAAAGGGGGAAGACAATACATAGTAGAAGAAAGATGGGTTGGGGGGTGGGAGTGGTATTCGTACATTTTTTCATTCATTAGAAAATACTGATACCATGAAACTGATGGTAAAAAATAAACTATTGGAATTGCAAAAAATTTAAATTAAACAGAGGCTGGAAGAGAATAAGGAAGTCTTCCATGAATATGAATGAATACAGAGATAGAAAATCAGCCAGGCCGGTGTGGCTTAGTGGCTGAGCATCAGCTCATGAACCAAGAGGTTTCTCATTTGATTCCCAGTCAGGGCACCTGCCCAGGTTGCAAGCTCGATCTCCAGTAGCAGTCTCCAATAGTAGGAGGCAACTGATTGATGATGCTTCTCATAGATTTTGCTGTCTCTCTGTCCTTCTCCCTTTCTCCCTCCCCAAAAGTCAACAAAATTTTTGTTTTGTTTTAATCGGAGAAGATAAACTAGAGAATCAAACCAGGAGGCCTGTCAAAAAATTAAGTGCACATTTAAAGGAAAAGGAATCAAAATTATAAAATCCTGAGAGAAAATTATTTCTAATCCAGAATTATATACCTTTTCAAAAAAAAAAAAATACCTTGAAAATATAATACTTAAATATACAAGGCCTCAAGAAATTAGCCTCTTAAATATAGTTCTTGAGAAGCAAATATAGAAGGCTATAACCCTCCAAAATTAGGGAATATACCCAGAATAAGGAAGGTGGGACCCGGGAAATGGGAGAGAACCTCAGCTCTGTGGTTGCCTAGGGAGGCAGTAGCCCACACTAAAGCAGGAGGCCCATCGTTTCTAAGAGGGATGCCTAGGTGAGAGAGGTGTACAGATCTGCAGGAGAGTTAGAAGGCTGAGTTACTGATGATACATAGAAAACCAAGCCATCAGAAACCCAAGTCATTTAGTAGGGGAAAACAAGAGCTTATATAAGAAGAGATATAAAATCATGGTATAACTGTATGCATGTACTACCTTGTTAAACATTAAGTTTTCTTAGTTTGACAAATTATGCTTTTTTGTTCATACAAATTATAGACTCTACTGACTTTTAATATTATAGATTTAACTTCATAACTGTTACCTATCAACTTATTTTACAAAGGACAAACATTCTTACAATAGCCTTTTTATTCATGCTTGTTTTCAGTTGCCTCGTAGAAGGGGATGCTAAGGAAGAAATACTGCAGCCACCAGAGCCTCACCCAGTGCCACCCATTTTGACCCCTTCTCCCCCTTCAGCTTTTCCAACAGTCACTACTGTGTGGCAGGACAATGACAGATACCACCCGAAGCCCGTGCTGCACGTGGTTTCATCAGAACAACATTCAACAGACCTCAACAGAAATTATAGTAAATCAGCAGAACTTCCAGCGAAAAATGAACCAATTGAACAAATAGATAAAAAATTGGAGCGAAATTTAAGTTTTGAAATTAAGAAGGTCCCTCTCCAAGAGGGGCCAAAAAGTTTTGATGGGAACACACTCTTGAATAGGGGACATGCAATTAAAATTAAATCAGCTTCACCTTGTATAGTTGATAAAATCTCTAAGTCGCAGGAATTGAGTTCAGGGGATCCGAAAGTTGATGATATTTCTCAGAATTCTTGTGTGGACTGCAGTGGAACACTGTCAAATAAAGCGCCAGTTATTCCACCAGAAGAATTACAGAAGAATTCAGACATACCTCCAAGGCCAGACCGCTTGCCTCTTGATGAAGAAGGACATGTAACATGGTCATGTCATGGACCTGAAAATACCTTGCCCAAGCCTGATTCATCTGAAGCAATATCCTCAGATACCCACTGTCAATCAATGAAAACCGTGAGTGTAACACCCAGCCCCACAAAACAAGGCGAAACCCATGATCTTGTGGATCATCATAGCAGTTCCCCTCTATTCAGAGCACCCCTCAGTTTTACTAATCCTCTTCACTCGGATGACTCGGACTCAGATGAAAGGAACTGTGACAGTGCTGTGTCCAAGAATAAAACTAATATTTCAACAGCAAGTGCCACAGTTTCTGCTTCCACTAGTACTGAAAGTATATCTACAAGGAAAGTATTGCCAATGTCCATTGCTAGGCATGATATAGCAGGAACAATACATTCAGGTGCTGAAAAAGGTAATAATAGTATTTAACACTTAAATATTTTTACTATCTACCAGTCACTTTAGCTGTATTACTAATTCATTATGTTTTATGCCATACTTGACTCTAAAACAGCAAAATTTTATTATTTCAGACAAATTTTTTTAAAGTAAGTTTTTATTATCTTAATATGTTCACATTGCATTACTGGATTTTGTGTTTTCAAAATGTTTCAATTGTAACTGAAAATTTTTTTCTGTATTATAGCTTTTAGTATTTTACATGAGTCAAAAAATCCGTTTAATAGAAATTATTTAAGACAGATAATTGCTTGAAATAACTGGTACAAATATTGTAGAATGGCTTGATTGCCCACTTAATTCCACTCATGTCTATAATAAATACTTAATTTTTATCTTCTTATGCTCTTTTGACTACAAAAATTTTTAAACCTTTCTTCATAAGTTCTTGAAAAAGAAGCTGCTTTCAATCCTGAGTTTAACACATTGCAACTACTCAGCAGACTGGGAATTTTAATCCTTCAGTAGTGAGTGGGATATATCTATATTTAGTCATCACTGTTCTTATTTAATGAAGCAGCCTTATTATTTCAACATAATGCATGTGCTCAGTTCCCAATATGTATTATTGGTTCTTGAAACAATTTGATCTGCTAAAAATAATCTTAAACATACCAAAAAGTTGAGATCAAATGTATAAACATGAAAGCTATTTACTGGTAGATTATCAGTGGTCATTTACTTGTCAGTAAACTTTTATAATGACACATACAGGCATATTTATAATGTGCTGGCATAAAAGGTACTGTGAACCTGAAAGATGATTTCCCTTTTCTATTTCTGACCCAACAAGTACCACCTTTGTTGTACCTTTATTTTCTCCAACTGAGACATGCTGTATTTTTTTTTTTTTTTTTTTTTACACCTTGAGAATGTAATCTGGTAGAGTAGATGAGACTCTAAGCTAGTTTCCTTAACTTTAGGATTCTCTATATTCTTGCTTCTTCTGTGTTTTATTTGAAGGATCTTGAGGAGATAATGGTTACCACAATAAATATTACTTTACCAGTTGGCCATCATTTCAATTTGTTGATATATTTTTCTCCCTCAATTTCAGAGTTTGAAATATAACTACCTTGCTCTAGCTGGTTTGGCTAAGTGGATAGAGCATCAGCCTGCGGATCCAAGAGTCCCAGGTTCGATTCTGGTCAAGGACACATGCCTGGGTTGCAGGCTGGGTCCATTGTGCAGGAGGCAGCCAGTCAATGATTCTTTTTCATCATTGATGTTTCTATCTCTCTCTCTCTCTCCCTCTCTAAAATAAATAAAAATATAAAAAATTAAAAAGAAATATAACTACCAAGTTGTAGCTACTTAAAAAAAAAGTGTAGGTAAGAAATTTTCATTTGGAGGGTTTTTTTTGTTTGTTTTTTTCCTTTTCTTTTGGCATGTCAGGCATGTGTCTTGGGCCTATGAATTTTTTCTTTTAACAACTACTAGAAATAGAATTTATGATGACAGGAAGAATGCATGATGTGATATGCTCGTAAAACTTACTGCCACGTGTCCAGTCTTTCGGTGATAGCAGGAGTCCCTTTAAAATACTGTACAGGATAGAGGAAAGCACTCTATTGTTTAGCAGCTCACTTCTGCTTTATTTTGTTTGTATTTCAAAGCAAAGATAGCTGTAAATGTGATTTCAGGTTTCTTTTCACCCTTATCTAGCCATGCTATATTAGTTTGGTATTAACTGAAGATTTTTCTGTGTAAGCGTTCTGTGCCGTAACATAATATAAGCAGTCCTTTTTTCTTCTTATAGTTGATTGATTTTTAGAGAGAGGAAGGGAGAGAGAAAAAAACATCGATGTGAAAGTGAAACATTTAATGGCTGCCTTCTGAATTGCCCCCAGGAGATTGAACTCACAACCCAGGGATATGCCCTTGACTGGGAATTAAACCAGCAACCGCCTGATGCACAGAATGATATTGAACCAACTGAGCCACACTGGCCAGGGCAGTCCTGCTTTTAATGTTATTTATTTACCTTGTAGTTGAAACATTGGCTCAAGAAGTAGTTTTTCGTTTGTTTTAGAACTTGTTAGGGAATTAAAGAGAATAATTTTGTTTTGATACTTAAAACAATCTTTGGCATAAGTTACCACCTGACAAAAAATCCTGGTTATGAATTCTGAGTTTAAAACTGATTTTGGTGTCCTGAAAGATTTCTGAAACTTGACTACACTAGGCTCCCCCACACAATGTATGATTTGCAAAAGCCTATGTAAAGTATGCTGTCTTTGGTTGAATAATCTCTAAAACAAGTTTATAATATAGAAAATACAATCCAGAGACTCAGGGAGGAACATGTAGTTAAGAAGAAAGGGCCACAGTTATTTAAAAAAAAAAAAAAAAAAAAAAAAAAAGCTTTAAGGGTGAGGGCTGTTATAATTCTTGACAATAATTAAAGTGGTAAAAATTTCTTATTCACATTTAAAAACTGGTTCTCTTAGATACTTGAGGTAGTGAGTTTTAGAATCTCACGAAAGGTCTCTTTGTTTAGATAAGATCATTTTTAATGAGTCAACACTTTAAACAAGTTCATAATTTGTCTAAATGTTATGTATTTAATATAGATGTTGATGTTAGTGAAGATTTACCTCCTCCTCTCCCTGAAAGGACTCCTGAATCTTTTGTATTAGCAAGTGAACATAGTGAGTATCTTCTGATTTTATTAAAATTCTTCATACTCTGATTTAAACTCTGGGAAAGATGGCTGATTTTAATCTAGTTGCTACTGAACTACATAATTAAATTAACAAAGAGGGTTGAATTGATATTGACAACTGTTTTTAATTCCTTGTATGAAAAATACAATTTGGTATCTTTTCATTCATTATGAAAAGACATTGATTGGTTCATTGGTGCCAGTTCAGGTATAAACATTAAATTGTGTTGTAGGTGAATATCACTCAGTTGGTGTTGGGAGACAATTTAGGCCACAAGAGTTACCAGTGAGAACTGGGAAAAGTTCATATTTCAAAGCACTTACTGTATTTTTTTTTCCTTCCCCTCCAGAAAGAGTATAGAAACAGCTTTATTCTTATATTCACAGAATTGCTCACTATTCTTTATCTGAATTACATTTAAAATTAATATTTTATTAATTTTAACTGATTTTAAGGATGTTAAAAACAGTGAAGCCATATACTTCAATAATATTAAATCTAAGTTTGCCAAATTTATAGATTATAGTGAGCTTATAATAAACTCTGATGTACTCCTTAAAATTATTTTAATTATATTTTAAGGAGGGAAACTTAAAAGAAATATTCTTAAATTGATAGAAACAAATTTTTTTATGAAAGTGATAGTTTCTAAAAATCTATAGAATATTTTTATATATTACCTAATGCAAGACATTTCAAGAAGTAAAGATGTTAATTTTAATTGTAAGATTTCATTTTTCTCAGATACACCTGTAAGATCTGAATGGAGTGAACTTCCAAGTCAGGAAGAATCTGAACAAAAAAAATCTGAAGTGAGTCCTTTTGGTATTAATTCAGCAAGAGTTCAATATTTTTGCTGTTTTGTTTATTTTTTTAGTGTGTGCTCTTTTATTTTCTTTTTAAACTTTTTTTTATTGTTGATAGTATTACCCTCTCCCTTTAGCCCCCTCCTCCTAATTCCTCCCCTCTCCTCCCTCACCCCCCAGGTCTTCACTACCCTATTATTGCCTGTGTCCTTGGACTATGCATATTAGTTTATAAATTTTTTGGTTTACCTAGTCTCTTCCTCCCAACTCCACATCAAGGTATGTCAGTTTGTTCCATGCCTCCATATTATTAGTTTATAATAACGATAGCTTAAGACTATTAAAATTTTTAACAGCATTTCTTGTGCAAAGATTTCAGATGAAATGTGAGATTTGGAGTTTTTACAAGGGCAACATGGCTACATATTACTGTCTCATCACTTCAGAGTGTTATTTTCCCAAGCTATTTTTGAAATTCATAAATTGTGCCATGTTCCAAATCATTCTGGAGGTATAAATGGAACTGCTCTTAATATTTTCAGGGTCCTAATACTTTTCTAGACTTTTTTCCTTCCATTATAACAGTAGGTATGAGGTTTCTTTTCACATTCAGGGAATGTATTGGTAGCTAAATATCTTAGCTGTGGAAAAATGTGTTTTTTTTGGTCACCATTAATGTTTTCCTATTTCTCCTATATTTTAATATCACTGAAATTAGGGTAAATCTTACAATTGATTAAAAACCACTGATACACTTTGTCACATAAAATAGTAGTAACCCTGTAAGAATGATGGTTTGTCTTACAATCCATGGTATCATAATTTGATAAATATGATAAAAGACTGGCAAACTGTAGTAGTGTGTATATTCCTTTGTGTAATAGATCCTGCATTTTCAGTTTTCATCTAGAAGGAAAATTTCCCTATCTTTTACTCCCAATATAAAGTACCACACATTTAAAAATGTTAAGCCTACGAACAACATAAGCTGATGAACAAAAATAGATCCAAAGCAAAAAATATTATAGAATATAATAGAAGTAATCCTGTTATTTTCAGATTTTTAATATTTCCTACAACTTTAGTGATAATGTACTATGCTAGTACAGTTTTGGTAATATACTTAAAATCATTTTCTTCTTGAAATATTGCTATTTATTGCATGTAACATATTTAAAATTGTTTTTTGTGGGTTTTTAAAAAATATATTTTTATTGATTTCAGAGAGTAAGGGAAAGGGAGAGAGATAGAAACATCCATGAGAGAGAACCATGGATCGGCTACCTCCTTTTCACCTAGTGGTGATCCAGCCCATGATCCACGCATGTGCCTTTGACAGAATTGAACCCAGGACCCTTTGGTCTGCAGGCCAACGCTCTATCCACAGAGCCAATCCAGCAAGGGCTAAAATAGTTTTTCTTGTTATTAATGTTTATTGCATGTAACATTATACTTGATTGTTTTTCTTGAAATATTAATGTATTGCTTGTAACATTTTTTTTTTAAATGAATGGAGTTAAGACTAATCAAAAACATTGTTTTCCTTTGAAACGGATAAAGCTTAATTTCTTGGGATGGATACTTAGTTGTTGTTTTTTTTTAATATTTGTTTGTAAAGTTATTAAATGTCATCCTTACAGGGCTTGATAACCCCTGGAAGTGAAAAATGTGGTAAGTTAGACTTTGTTCCTTTTTGCTATAGATTATATAGGTTAATTTTCATAAAATAGCATGTCTTGTGGCATATGCTATTTGGTTATTTCTGTACGTGAAAATATGTAGGACACCTAAAACCAGAATTATGTGCTATAATTCTTCCAATTTAATTACTATTCCAGGGATTATTATTATATGGAAAATAACAGCATTTATTATTAATAGTTATAGGCTCATAGGAAAGAAATTATTTTAATGTATTTCCCAGTGTATTATTTCCTGTTGGCTATAAAACCTCTTAGAATCCAGATCTGGCAATTGATTAAATAAATGCCCCATAATTAATCTATGTGATTGAATTGGGCCCCTAAAAATAGATTGCTTTGGAAATCTTTTAGGACTTAATTCATTTGTGAAGACCATAAGATTTTGTAGCTCAACTGAGTGTTAAAATGGCCAAGATAAAAATTTTTCCTACCACATTACTTTTTACTATCATGCTAAATAGGTCAAGTTACTGTTAATTCTTATAAATCAGTAACATAAAGCAGCTCATCAAACATCCTAGTCTATGTAATTCCCTCAATTCATCTATCATTTCTGCCTTCATCTTAATCCTCCACTCTGCTACAGCTTCTCTCACTGATGTTTGCCTAATGGGGTTCCATATCAGCTATTACTCTGTCTACTTTACTGAGGCAACATCCTAATAATAGAGCAATATGCAAATTAACAATCATTCCGCGACAAAATAGCAGCCCCCCATAGTCACAGGATGGCGGCTCCCAGCTCCCTCAGTTCTGTTGCTGGAGTATCCGGCCTGTCCACAGGAGCAGTGAGGCTGGATCTGCCTCCAGAGGGGTTTTTGATCTGCCCCCAGACATGGCAGTCAGAGCCTGGACAGCAGGGTGATGGCAAGGGAAGCCCCAGGCCCAGGCCCGGCAGTCACCCGAACCCAGGCAGCACGGCTTGAGGGCTTCCTTAGCAAGGTGGCAGCGGGAACACCCCCAGGCCCCACAGACAGGGCCAGGACAGCAGGCATGGGGCTTCCTTAGTGTGTCAGTGTAGGTAAAGCCCCCAGGCCTGGCAGATACAACACAGGGCATTGGGGTTTCCTTCACATGGTGGAGGCAGGCAGAGAGCAGGGCATGGGGGCTTCATCTCCATGGCTGCAGCAAACCTCCAGGCCCTCAGAGAACCACGGGGAGTGGACCTAAGCCATTAGTAGGACATCCCGAGAGCTCCTGGATTGTAGAGGGTTCAGGTTGGACTGAGGGACCCCTGTGCACTAATTTCAGGCACCAGGCCTCTAGTTTTTTCAAATATATTTTATTGATTTTTTACAGAGAGGAAGGGAGAGAGATAGAGAGCTAGAAACATCGATGAGAGAGAATCATCGACCAGCTGCCTCTTGCACACCCCCTACCGGGGATGTGCCCGCAACCAATGTACATGCCCTTAACCGGAATCGAACCCAGGACCTTTTCGTCTGCCGACCAACGCTCTATCCACTGAGCCAAACTGGTTTCGGCCAGGCCTCTAGTTTTATTATAAAACTTACCACACTACTATAATAATTAGTTAACTTTTCTGCCTCTTCTAATCGACCAGGGATCGGCAAATTACCACACAGGCATAATCCTGCCATTGGCTTCTTTTCTTGTTCTGCCCTTGATCTAAACTAGTGATTTTTACATTTGAAAGAGTTGCTTAAAAACAAAGAAACAAAAATCAGTGAATACGTGACAGGATCGTATTGGCTTGCAAAGCCTAAAATACTTATTCTATAGCCTTTTACAGAAAAAGTTTACTGACCCCCCTATCTGGACCCTAAGCACCGAAGGACAAGGATCATAAAGTTGAAGATCATTGCAAGTGTGAATGATGCAGGGATGGTATCTAGATTGGATAGAGAAGGGAAAGAAACCGAGGAGTTAACATATATTAAAAGGTCATTTGACTTATACTCCAAGTTTCCAGAAAAGTTTTTTAGCAGAGGTACAGGGATATGATAAAGGTTGTGAAAGAATGGATAAATCATAGCAGCTAATTCCTTTTGTTAACTAATTTTACACAATAATTAAGTAATTAAACTAAAATTTAAGTAATGTAAAACTTATTTATAGGAGCAGACAGAAAGTTCATTGGTTGACATATAAAAAGCATTTCAGTTGCAATTATTAGCACACAGTATAACTAATTTAAGGAAATACAATATGCCATGATTCAGGTTTATTCAAGTCAGAGCATAAGTTTAAGCTTCACATTGCAGAAGTACTCTCTGCAGATTTCTAGGTTCCTAAAGAACACTTAGTATGATTTCTTGTGCTCACTACCTCATTATTTATATTTATTTGAGCCTCTAAAATCAAGTTGTCCCCAAGAGAAAACTTACTCTTTAACTTAATTTTTCAAAGTAAACAATTAGAAAATTCTACATAGGATAGGATGCTTCAAATAATGGTGATTAACATAGCTCTATTTTGCATTTTATATCGTCCAGCAGGAGGTATTCACTCAGAGACTTGTACAGAATGTCCACCTACTTCGAGTAACAAGAAAGATCCAATACCAGAAAGTCCAACAAAAACCACAGATATTGGTAATTTTATTTATTTATTTACTTTAAATATATTTTATTGATATTTTTTACAGAGAGGAAGGGAGAGGGATAGAGAATAAGAAACTTCTATGAGAGAGAATCGTCGATCAGCTGCCTTTTGCACACCCCCTACTGGGGATGTGCCTGCAACCATGGTACATGCCCTTGACCGGAATCGAACCTGGGACCCTTGAGTCCAGAAGCCAATGTTCTATCCACTGAGCCAAACCAGTCTCGGCGATATTGGTAATTTTAGAACTTGAATTATGTCATTAATGCTGGCAAAGAATGAGGAAAAAATCATTTGCCATCATTGCAGGATGTCCTTACGGCAAAGTTTATCAAACATTGTGCTATGATTTATTCAGTTTCTTAAATGAACTAACTACCAAAACAAGTTAGAAGTCGGTTTTGTGTTTAGAGTTATGCTTAGTTTAAATTCTTAATTCCCACGTGGAAATTTATTTGTTCAAGATAAGGATGTTTGACATGGTTTATACAGTATAAAAATATTCATGAACACTGACAAACAATTGTGGTGTTTTGATTATAGGTTTTGGTAATCGCTGTGGAAAACCCAAAGGACCAAGAGGTCCACCTTCAGAATGGACATGATTCAGGGAGCCAAAAACCACTTTAAATTATTACTGGAAAATTCAAGTGCCACTGAAAGCCAGAGTCATAGTATTCCTTCTTTAAAATGTGGGACTAACCGCAGTGTAGATTGTGACCTCTGCATTTTTTGCCAGGACCATCTTCCTGCCATACTACACTTAGGAAAAAGTATTACATATGGTGTTTTGTTTTTTGTTGTTTTTTTTGTTGTTGTTGTTGTTAACTTCAAGTATTATTGCCTTAATGTCTCTTAACCCTGTTACACGCTGCTTGTAGACCTGTTAATATAGTAATACTTTTATTATAAATTGAGTTTAAGGACTACTCTTTTGCTAATGTTTTATCATGTATGCATTATTTTGTATATGTACAGGGCAAGTAGGTATATAATTTGATAAAGTTGCGGTCATAAAATATTATTAACAGAAGATGTAAAATTTCTGCATGGTCTAAATCTTTGTGTACTTTATTTGTAAATTATTTGCCCTGAAGTTTTAGAAAATAGTTTCTGAATTTTAAAATTGCTGGATTCATGCAGCCAGCATTGCAGGTTATCAGAAATCAAAGATTGTAATAATACATTTTGTAAATTGTAAGCAAAAAGTTATTTTTATATTATATACTGTCTAATTGTCCATCCTAATTGTTCTTGTTTTCATCTAGTCATGGAGATTCAGTAAGTGCCTTGGAACAATATTGAATTCTCTTAGCTTGTGTGTGTTACTTTAATATTTGAATTCAACTGGGATTAGAAGACTATCAAACTACATGTATGTTTCAGGATATTTGACCTGCCATTAAAAATCAATTTTACAATGCTTACTTGTCTTGGTTTTTCATTCCTCATTCTGAGGAAATTAGATTTAATATCTGCTGGTTCAGTCTTACCTTTTAATCTTTTAATTAAACAGGAGGGAGCATCTGCAAACACATGGCTTTGCAATTGTAATACTGACAATAATTTTAATACTTATCCTTGAAACGGCGCTAGGCATTACTGCTTATTAAGATCCTAGTAAAACACCAAACCATTTGTGAGGTTAGGAAAGGGAAACTTTTGTGGAGGGGTTTCTTTCACATTCCTAGACCACAGTTCTCATTCATAAGTACAAACTTTGAATTGTGACATCATGGATTAAAATTAGTATACATCAGTCCTGGCTAGGTGGCTCAGTTGGCTGGAACATCAACTCATACACCAAAAGGTTGTGGGTCAGGGCACACATTTACCGTTTTGACCCCTAATTGGGGTATGTATGTGAAGCAACTGACCTCTCTCTTCCATTCTCTCTAAAAAAGAATCAATGGAAAAATATCCTTGGGTGAGGATTAAAAAAAAAAAGGTGCAAAATAGATCTAGTTTTGAATATAAACTGTGCTCAACAGATTTGCAGTAATGTTTCCTCTGCTATTTATTTGTCTTTAAGTTGCACAAATCTTACAAGTTGTAAATGACCAATACTTAGATGGGAAACAATTTAAACAGTTGGCAAGTAGCTATGCTTGGTTAATTCAAAGAGGCATGTCTGTTCTAAACTATAACAAATCTGGGCTTTGTTGAATTAGTGGGGCCAAGGGAATTCCAAAGATTCCAGTCATTTTATTTTTGAGAGAGAACATTGCACGTGTACTGTTACCAAGATCTCATACAGCATTCGTGACAAGAATTCTGCCAGTGTTTCAGCAAAAACATATTACAGATTTATTCCAAAATAACCAAATATTAAAGTTCTATATTACTCCTTAAAATCAATAATTTTTTACCAGTAATTTTTAATTTTTTTCATAGTTACAATTTTGTTTTGCATTGAGAACTTTAGAGATCCACTCTCAGCAACTTTCAAATATGCAGTCCATTATTATTGCCTATATTCACTATACTGTACGTTATATCCATATGACATTTATTTTAGAACTGGAAGTTTGTACTTTTTCACCCCTTTCATGCATTTTGCCAGTCTCACCCTCAAAATTATGTTTTTCTCATTAAAAATTCTTCAATAGAATTATGTTAAATGAGTACATAAATGTACAGCTGATCTATATATCTGGGGTGTTTCAAATTATGCTCTATAAATTTTGATTTACTTACATTTTTAAAAAAATATATTTTATTGATTTTGTACAGAGAGGGAGATACAGAGTTAGAAACATTGATGAGAGAGTCATCGATCAGCTGCCTGCTGCACACCCCCCACTGAGGACATGCCCACAACTAAGACACATGCCCTTGACCAGAATCGAACCTGTCCCCAAGCCGACGCTCTATCCACTGAGCCAAACCGGTCTCGGCCCAATTCCTTCTAAAACTAAAATGTAAAAAAGCATTTAATTTACTGTATTACATGTAAAATTTAAGAGTTTAGCATTTCTCATTGTATTTAAAGTATGTATACAATAACATGTTATAAATATATAATTGATTTCAGAGAGGAAGGGAGCGGGAGAGAAACATCGATGAGAGGAAATCATTGATCAGCTGCCTCCTGTTTACAATATATTTTGAAATGTATCAGAAAGTAAATGGATTAATGTATGGAGGGATGCATAGTTACATATGTGACAAAGCAAATATAACAATGTTCATTGTAGAATTCAGGTGACAGGTGTATGGGTTACTGTATCATTTTTTTAACTGAACATTTATATAATTAAATATTAAATAATCTCTGCTAGGCTTTGGAGATTCCTACCTTACAATCCACATTATTGAATTAAAATTCTGTTAAGACAGCATTTAAACTACCTTTCAATAAAATTGTCTTTACTAATGGACATGAATTTTTCTTAACATGGATATTACTTTTTAAATGTTTAAGAAGTACTTATGTTTCTATTTAGAAAATTTATACAACAGGAATGCAAAATAACTAAATGATTTCTTTGTTTGAAATAGGGTTTATTTTTCTAGAATATCTAAGTACATACTCATAACTTGTTAACAAGTCAACTAGATTCACTTTTTTCAAATCAGAGTGGTGGTTGTTTGACAATAATTTTTCTTAAAGGAGATGTCTTGATCAGGGTTTAATGCAGAGGACAAAAGCTACCTTTAAGTAATTTAAGCCAAAAGGAATTTATTACATGGTATATTACAAATGATTGGTAGGGTTGTAAACTGAGCTTCAGGAATGCCTCACAAATTCATGCTGTGGAACTGGACTGCTGCCGTGATCAGGAATTCACTCCCGAATGGGGAAGCACCCACTCCTTCCCTATAAAGCACCCCATCAAGAAGGATGCCGCAAGCCCTGGCTGGTGTGGCTCTGTTGGTTAAGCAGGTGCATCCTGGAGACAACCAAGGGATGGATGCTTCCTCTCACATCAATGTTTCTCCCTCAAATCAATAGAACATTTTAAAAAGGGTGATACTGCTCAGTGGTAAGAGTGTAGGCCCACTCACCAAAAGGTCTCAGTTTCTACTCCCAGGCAAGGACACTCAGCATAATAGATTTTTTTTTTTTTTTTTTTTTTTTTTTTAGGTATAGCATTTGGCCACTGGAGGGCTTCCAAATGCCATAAAATGCATTAGGAAATAAATTAGTCTATAGTATGTACTGGTAAAGTTCTAGGGAAGGGCTGCATGGAGTATAAATGGCATCAATTATAGTAAGAGACTCGATCTGAAATCTAGCTGCTTTAATCATAAAAGAAAAATTTTTCTGACCCCCTTCCCCTTGCTCTCAAATGATTTGTGCTATTAAAGGTACCACTTCTTTAGATCAGAAAACTTGATAAAAATCAAGATGCATTTGTGGAGATGGCATAAAAATGTTAATTGTTTACCTTTTAAAAATATATATATATATATCATTAATTTCAGAGAGGAAGGAAAAGGGAGAGAGTGATAGAAACATTAATGATGAGAATCATTGATTGGCCGCCTCCTGCAGACTCCCCACTAGGGATCGAGCCCTCAACCCAGACATGTGCTCTTGACCAGAATCGAACCTGGGACCTTTTAGTCCAGAGATCCACACTCTATCCATTGAGCCAAACCAGCAAGGGCTAAAATTACCTTTTTAAGGTGATAATTTTCTTTGATACTTCCTTGGCCTGTAAGGGCATTTCCTAATCAGCACAAGTTCATCAAGCTATCACACATCCTAAGGACCATTATGAGATGTAAAAAATATATATTGTCTGACCAGGAGAATGAGAGAGAAATTAGTTTTCAATTGTGCCTGTATAAGAGCAAAATAAATATTTTCAAATTTATCAATGTTCCTCTTAGAGATCACAATGGAAGTTTACCTAGGTGAAAATCCAGGAATAGGGAAAATCGATTTAAAAACCATAAAGTCACCTTGTATTTATTTAATACTTACAATGGGTTTGTGGAGCAATTTTATGACATAAGCTATAAAAGGTTAAATGTGCAAGCAATCTTCTGCTACAGTGGGTGCGCCGTCTCACTAAAGAAATGCATGCTATGTAGGCCCACACAAGACTCAAACAGGCCGGTGACGACAGCTGTAAAAGTGGGACCTAGAGAAAATACCCTTCCCAAATGAGCACCAGAGGCATTGAATAGTGGTGCAAGGTGGTTAAATGAGACCAAATGATTAATCTGCGCCCTAATCGGTTTAGCTCAGTGGATAGAGACGGAAGGTTCCCAGGTTCGATTCCGATCAAGGACATGTGCCTTGGTTGCTGGCACATCCCCATGGGGGATGTGCAGGGAGCAGCTGTTTCTCATCGATGTTTCTGGCTATCACTCTCTCTCTCTGTAAAAAAATCAATAAAATATATTTTTAAAGAATAATTCATTTGCTCTTTATCAGAACGCTGTTTCTCTGTCATGGTTTCCACTAGTCACTGGTTCATTCAGAAAAATAAACATGCAGTGAGCAACATTTTCATAAAGGCAAATTTCCTTTTTATATGTCTTTATGACTAATAAATATGATTATATTTATTTAGATGTTTTTTTTGTGAACAGTGGTGATGAATTTTTTTTTTTTTACTGTACTTAAAAATGAAAGAAAAAACTCCTAAGT